CTTGAAGAAAAGAAATTTTATTAAATTGATTTAATTTTTTTCAACAGTAATATTTATTTTTATTCTTAAAAACGTTTCAATTTTTGATTTCGCGTTTTATATAATTAAAACCTGTAATTCTAGAAATGTGGTATTATCTAATTTAATCACAATAATTAACCTTTAAGAAGTTCCAAGTACACTTATTGGGTTCTTCAGTTCATTAATTCCATACTTTAGTACATGATTCCCATTTCTGATGGGTCATGTCAACCAAGAGTGAGTGGGACCACTTTGGTGGGTTTCCTATTTCTATCCTGTTTTGTTTGGCATACAGAGACTGCCAGATGTGACATATCACAGCCGTGAACAGATAAGATCACTGCCCTTAAAGTAGTTCACGTGTTTTTGGGACCCACTACATGTAAACGGCGTCCCCACATTTCTTAATCATCAATTTTATTTATTTATATTCTCTCTTAATATGTGGTTTACGCAATTACCAAATGGTTTGTCTCTAAAATATTTACCCTTTTCTTTTTAAATTGTGTTTTGTTAAATCTTTTGAATAGCTAATTTCTTAATTGGATTTTCCATTTAATTTATACTCAGATTTTTTATATAATAAGTGACGTTTATATATTTAATATTACCATTATTGTGTTATGATATAAAAATTCAGAAATCAAATTACAAAATTAAAATGTGATCTAAATTTGTATTTCAAAATTAATGGAGGCTATTATTGATTTATTTTATAGTATATAATTATTACCATATTGATGAATGAATTTTTATTATTAATAAGATACAAATTGTGTTTTCTAAAAAAAAAAAAAGATGAGGTAGATTGTGACAATTATTTTTAAAATAAAACACCAATTTAATTAAATTATTTTGTAATTTTGAAAGTAATTAATAATATCAAAAGAATTAAAGGAATGTCTATTATATGTTAAGCATTAAATTAATCTTTGAATAAAATTTTTTGTCTCTACATAATTAAGGAGAGACAATAAAATAATTTAAAAAGTTGATAGCTAAATGGATCGCTGTAAAATGTTATTCTTTGATTTTTAAAGAAGGCATTTATTCATATAATAATTATTATTATTTTTGGATACAAGGGTGGACTCACACCCAGGAAACAGAATAATAATTTTTTTTGGCGTTTAAGAAAATTGATTAATGAAAGTTAATTTTCTAATAGAATATAAAAATAAATTTTTTTCAAATGAATTAATTTATCAACCACTAATTATTAAGAATCTCATATTGCATTTTTAAGATTTAAGAATAGAAAGCTAACTAATTAATTGATTAGTATTAAAATTTTTTTACATTGATTGACTCAAACCTAATTAAGCTCATATTACTCAATTTTATATTCATTTACATATTCATTCATCTTTACTATTTCACTCGTAATATAATATGAATTGCTAGTGACAACGATGATTTACCTCGACAAATTTATTCTTATACCAACTATAAGTAAAATATGTGGAGTTTTTATTTTATTTAAGTACAAATTTATTCTCATATTTAAATCTTACTTCTTTTTATTTTTTTATTTGATTTTTCCCCTAAAAATCAACATATACTTGCATAATAACTTCACTGAGTAAACAATTAAAAATACCATCAAGTTTACGTTTTGTTATAATTACTCTCCATTCTTAAGATAATTCTTCCGACGTTTTAATTTTTAACTTTTGTAATAATTCAAATCTTAAATCAAGTCCGCACTTCAATTTTAATCCAAAATCATCCGATGCGTCCCACATTCTGTTATTTTATTCATTTTAAAAGGATTGATTTGAATTAGAGGTGGAACTATTGCAAAAATTAGAAATTAAGATGTAGGGTTAACTTAAAAATGGAGTGCAATTATAATAAAATGCAAATTTGATGGTATTTTTAATGGTTTACTCTTAGGTGGATCTTCTTTTTCTTCTTTTATCTGTTGTGGATAAAATAGCTTAACATATTGTTTTGCCCTGAAACTTTATATTTTGTTTCAATTTCACTTCAATTTGACCTTTATCTCAAATTATCATGAACTTTAACTTTTTCTTGCAATAAAATCCTAAATTATAATTAGGACTTAAATTGTAAATAAAAAATAGATTTACTCTTGACCTTAGGCTTGAGTTAACTTAATATATTTGTGTGTGCAAAGGAATTTGAGTTAATAGCAAGGATTTAAATAGTTTATTTAATTGATAATAAGTAATATATAAAAAATAATTATTTGATATATGAAAGCTTTTTTTTTAAATTAGAATATATCTTGTATTCTGGTTTGGCAAAAAAATATTACAATTTCTAATGGTTTATGAGTCAAATAAATTTATAGTAGCTTTGTTTTTAAATTTTATAATTATTTCAAAATTATATTAAAATCAAACCATAATAATAAGTAGATTCTATTTTAAAAAAAAAGAGTTTATGCATCAAATAATTAATTTTTAAATATTACTTATTATCAACTAAAAAAAAATATTAAAAACAATACTAGAGATTGTCATTACTATTAACCCAAACTCCCCCATTCACACAAATATATTAAGTTAACACAAGCTTAAAATCAAGAGTGAATTTAGTTTTTATTTAAAATTGAAGTTATAATTATAATTTAGGATGCTATTGCAACAAAATGTCAAAATTCAGGGTGAAATTAGTATAAAGGTCAAATTGGAGTGAAATAGCAACATAAAGTTAAAATTCATAGTGAAATTGATATAAAAGTTAAATCAGAATGAAATTATAACAAAATCTAAAAGTAAATGTGAAATAATATATTAAGCCCGGATAAAATAGAGTTTAGTTCTTTACCCTTTCAAATCTTTCCTTTTTTAGAAGCAAAAAGATACCTGGATCCTAAGGTAAACTTTTCCTTCCCCTCAAATAAATAAAGTTCAATTTTCCTTTGCAGCTAACATCAATTCATGATATATAAAACCATCTTCGTTTCATTTTATTTGCATGGTTTGATAAAATACGTATATTAAGAATTTAGTCAATAAAAGTTATTTTATTTTTTTTACCTTTAATTCATTAAGATATTAATAAAGTTTTCATTTAATGAATGATCATAAAAGTTATCATGAAAAAAATAATTATTTATATATATAAATTTAGAAAACTTACAAATATTTGAAGACATTCAAAAAAGGAATAGCAAACAAATAAAATAGAATAGAAGGAGTAATAAATTAATAATAACAAAGTAATACTCTCTCTATCACATATATATAAACTTGTTTGACTTCCACATAGATTAAAAAAACTAATTAATATAATTAAATTATATGTTTTGTTTAGTTTTTTTTTAAATATCCATTTAAAATGACGGATGTACATTAAGTAAAAGTATATTAAAAAATTAAACAATATACGATCATTTACAAAAAAAAAAAAAAACTATATTTTGAGATAAACAAAAAAAGAAATTCAGAGATATATATAGTACGAAGAGAGGAGGGAGTATATAATTGGGCAACTCAAAATCCAAAAAGCAACCTCATTGTCCACGTGTCCACTCCTTATATGCTTCTCTAAGTTGCTAATGTCTATCTATCTATCCTGTTAATTATTCAATTTCACTAGGAAAAAAAAAAAAGAAAAGAAATTAATGCCAAAATTACTGCATGCCTTACTAATGAAAAGAAGTTTAAGGTGAGGACAAAGCCTTTGCCTAACTGTCTCTATCCCAAACATCAATTAACCTGTAATTGTAATTTATACTCGTTCCGTCTCACTTTATTTGTATAATTTGATAAAATACATATATTAAGAATTTAATCAACAATAGTTATTTTGCCCTTTTTTGCCATTAACTCATTAAGATATTAAAAAGGTGAAGGACAAAGCCCTTTGCCTAAACTGTCTTCTATCCCAAACATCATTAACCTGTATTGTTAAATTTATACACTCGTTCCGTCCTAAAAAAAAAAGAAAAGAAATTAATGCCAAAATTACTGCATGCCTTACTAATGAAAAGAAGTTTAAGGTGAGGACAAAGCCTTTGCCTAACTGTCTCTATCCCAAACATCAATTAACCTGTAATTGTAATTTATACTCGTTCCGTCTCACTTTATTTGTATAATTTGATAAAATACATATATTAAGAATTTAATCAACAATAGTTATTTTGCCCTTTTTTGCCATTAACTCATTAAGATATTAATAAAAGTTTTTTATTTGATGAAGGATAATAAATGTTATTATAGAAAAAAATAATTATTTACATATACAAATTTAGAAACTTTACAAAAATTTTAGGACATTCAAAAAAGAAATAACAAGCAAATGTGATGGAGGGAGTATTAAATTGCAGCTTTTTCTAGGTACATAATCAAATGTTACATAAAAAAGAAAAAGAAAAAAATGTTTGAAGGAGTTTTTTTTCCTTAAAATTCAGGGTAAATATATTATTTCATATTCTTCATAAATAATATCATATCCACATATAATTTTTAATCCACAATATAATTCCACCGCATTATCAAAATTTAAGTTACATATAACTTTTTCTTATGTTCTAAAAAATGTGGAGAGTTTTATAATTCGACTTCTCTTCATTATAACAAATTAGCGATCATTTGTTTATTTTAAAAGAAGCATTATTTCCGGCCGTATAATTCATGATATTCTTTCAATTTATTTAATCTTCTGTTAATGTAAAAGTGTATGCCTTTAAAATGGAGAATTTGAGTACAATCTAATTGTTTAAATATTTCTCAAATTAATTGAGAAAAGCAGACAGAGATACCACCTGTCCACTAAAGGAAGAAAATGGGGAAAAAAAAAAAAAGCTAAAAGATATTGATCTTTTTTCCTTCTATTTGTTGTATATAGTCTTTGTCTCCCCAAAATTTTTACCAAAGTGAGACACAAAGACACAAGAAACAGTCTCTGCCAAAACTCCGGTGGGCAGAGTCCGCAACTCACAACGTGCAGATAAAGATTATATATAAACATTCAAATCTCTCTACACGTATGTACATGTATCCATACAAACCTCCTCCCCAATATATTTGCCTTCTTCTCTAATAATTCTGCTTTCTCTGTTGTTTTGTTGTTTTTCTTTCTTTCATCTTTTATTTGCCAACCCATTTCCAGTCTTTACAACTTTCATCATGGCATAGAAATACGAGAAGAAGCCATGTGAATTAGGTGTAAAAGAATGGGAGATCGCCAAACTTTTTCTATAATGTCATGATTCTTTAATTCTTTATTTTGATTTTCTTGATTTTATTTAGTCTTTCTTGTAATCAAAAGTACTTTCTGTTCCATATCTTCTCGTCTCTTCTTTCCTTCATGCTATATATTAATACAACCCTTCAATTTCTATTCAGAAGATAGACCTCAATCAGCAGAAGAGACATCAGCTTATTGCTTCACTCTTAAGGTATTACATAGTTTTGTTTTCGCCTGTTTAAGTGCTGATATAATGACATTTTGCAATTCCTTTTTGGTTTTTGTCATTCTTCATTTATTTTTCCGTCTATAGATAAGTAATATGTTTCTGTGAGATCTTAATTAAATGTTCTATTTAAAGTTTCAGCATCTTGATTTCTTTGTTTAATTTCTTAGAGTTTTGTCTGTGGATAAATGGTAACTTTGCATGTACTTTAGGGAATATCTGTTTCTTCTAGGTTTTTTGAAGTTTGATCATAATTATTGTAACTCAAACATATGAGATCGTGTAGATTTTCTTTTAGCTTTTCTTTGTAAACTTTTTTTGTTGTGTGGTTCTGAATTCTTAGATTTTGCAGAAACTGAAAACTTTCTGTTTTTCTCATGTTGTTCTGTTACTTCATCACTGTCACTCACTCTCATGTGCAATAAAAAGCTATGTGTGGACAGCTTTAATTAGTGAACTAACCTACAACATTGCATAGGCATTTATTACAAATTTTTCTTTTTAGTATTTTCTTTTAGGAAGAGTTTATCCTTTTACTGGTTCGCCTTGAATTTTGAAGAGAACGACTTATTTAAACCCGATCTATAAATTATATGAAAATCAATTAAAAATAATTATTTTTTCTTGAAAGTGAGAATAATTTTAAAAAATATCTATTATGATTGGTTTGATCCAGGTCGACCTACACACCGAGTCTAGACAAGTTTTATCTATAAAAAAATATTGATAAGAGTTTTCGAACATTGTGTAATCCACAGTCGATTTTATTTAGACTCTCAAAAAATAAAAGAGAATTCTATATTTATTATTCATATGGACCAAATTACCCATGTAGAATACTATGGTCATGCATCATAAAACTTTCATTGACTTCTACATTTCTTCCTTACCACATACTTAAGTAGTGTCCCAAAATATCACTTCTATGTCCTTGTTCCAGTTCATCTCACTGCCCCACTTTGCAAACTGAAAGTGAAAGTGTTACATATCTATGTTCTCTATAGCTAGATTATATTGTATTCACCACACAACGACCAGACAATTGTACATATAGCCATTTTTAGACAAGCACCCTCTTTAATACATACCCACTTAAAAACCCATCCTAAGCCCTACTAATGAATATCTTCTCTATGCTTCTATAGGAGATATGGAATCCACTGCTAAATCATCCAACAAGCAGTCATCCATGATACCTCCCATACCTAGAGATTCTCGCGGATCTCTAGAAGTATTCAATCCTTCGTCTTTTTCGACCCGACCCACTAATCCTGCCTTTCGCTCGAACTCCGGTTGGCAAAGTTGGGTTGAGCAGCAACCGTATGAAAGTCCAAGATTTGATCCATCTACTGTATCTTCTCACTCGGGCCAGACTGAAGAAATTACATCATGGATGGCTCTTAAGGATACTAGTCCACTGCCTTCAGTACCACTAATATCAGAATCCCAAGACGTTCCTGACGAAAGATTAAGAACGGGTACTCCTACAGAACTATCAGGAGAAGTTGGCATTGCAGCAAAAAGGGCAGCAGAGTGGGGTCTAGTGCTAAAAACAGACACAGAAACGGGTAAACCGCAAGGGGTTGGAGTGAGGAATTCAGGCGGGGATGAACCCAATACTAGTAATAAAACGGGGACTTCAAGAAGAAACTCGAATAATTCAGTTCGGAGCTCCGGTGAGTTATCGGAAGATGAAGGAGGAAATAAAGGAATTCCTAGAGTGTCTGAAGACATAAAAGATGCATTATCCTCTTTCCAACAAACATTTGTGGTATCAGATGCTACAAAACCTGATTACCCAATCATGTATGCAAGTGCTGGATTCTTTAAAATGACAGGATATACTTCTAAAGAGGTTGTAGGCAGGAATTGGTAATTTCTTTTAAACTTTTCTTACACTTTCTTTTTTCAAAACAACTTTCACAGCAAGGTAAAACTGTAAAAAGTGCTTTATTTTTTTACAGTCGGTTTTTACAAGGAGCTGGTACAGACCCAGAAGATGTGGCCAAAATTAGAGAGGCATTGCAACAAGGAAATAGTTACTGTGGAAGATTGTTGAATTATAAGAAAGATGGGACACCATTTTGGAACCTTCTCACAATTTCTCCTATTAAGGATGAATCTGGAAAAGTCCTCAAATATATTGGGTTAGTTTCTTAATTAAATATTTTTATTTCTAAATATTCTAAAGTTTTGATGGGACAAAATTGAAGAAAAAGATAAGAGAAGATGGAAATATAATGGTGCAGTTAAAACTTTTGTCCTATGAGAAATATTAATTGGAGCATGACATGTTCCTAATTAATAATTTTCAAGCTTCATTTCACTTTTGTCACTATTTAACATTAATGATTGAAAATCAAAATCAATCTTTCGGCACATAAGTAGTTGCATGGTGCAAGTGTCCTGAAACACTCCATGTGAAAGCTTCGTTCTTGAAACAAGTGAATGATATAAAATTTTATGAAATTTATTTAAAAATTTATATTTTTATATTTAAAATAAAAAAATGTAGATTTTGATTCTACAAATTTAATTTTATGAAATTAAATATAGCTAAACTTAATTCTACAATTAGGTGAAATTTCTAAATGAATTTCACAAAATTAAGTAATCCAATTTTTTATGACAAATTAAATTACCATCTCTCTTTCTTTTACAAATTGATTTTTTAAATATTTTATTAATTTTATCAAAACTTGATCAAAACCGTTTAAAATTTATTTTTATTATTAAAAAAATTTTTTATACTTAATCTCCATTTGAATATTAATCTGAAAATATTTCTGAAAAAAATGAAAAAAAAATATATACTTAGAGTTAATGGACCATTGAATTCATTAATAATATTTATAAAATTTTCGGAATTAATTTTTTAGAAATTGGTTTTCGATACATATCTAAATTGCAATACTATCATTTTTATGAATTTTATATAAATTGCAAGATTATTATTTCTATACACATCTAAAATGCAAGCTATTTATTTATATAAATTTTATTATTTATATTAAGCTTAATGGACGCATCTGATTCATTTAATAATATTTATAAACACTTTTCGGGATTAAATTTTTTTAGAAATTGGTTTTCGAATACATATCTTAAATTGAATACTAATCATTTTTATGAAATTTTATACTAAATTGCGAAGATTATTATTTCTATACACATCTAAAATGCAAAGCTATTTAATTTTATAATTTTATTATTTAATATCCTCTGAAATAAAAAATAAATCAGATTATTTATATTGCCATATAGTAATATATAATTGGTTTTATTATTTATATTTTATTAAAATTAATTCATTATTAATAGTATATCGAAAATAAATAATCAAACTTTCATTTAAAAAATTTTACCCATCCAAATATAATTTTGTAAGAATTTACTTAATTTTATTATTTATATTTGAATAAAAATAATCAGATTATTATATTGCATATAGTAATAAATATAATTGGTTTTTATTATTTATTTTTATTAAATTATTATATTAATAGTATATCGAGAAATAAAAATAATAAACTTTCATTTAAAAATTTAATCCAAATATAATTTTGTAGAATTTACTTAAAGTCCTTATTTTAAATTATGACATATCAAACATGAAATTTTATTTATAAATGAATTCTATTTAAAATTCATTTGTAATTCTACATTCATGGATCATTTATTTTAAATATAATGTAAATGTTAAATGTCTGATTTACAGCATAAAAATTAAAATTTGAATAATGACAGTAATTTAAAATTTTTTTGATGTTAAAAAAAAAAGAAATTGAGAAAATCTTGTAATGAATGATTTTGAAGTATGTAATTGTTTTGTTGTTGTGGTGATTGGGCAGAATGCAGGTGGAGGTTAGCAAATTCACAGAGGGGTCCAAGGACAAAACGTTGCGTCCAAACGGATTGCCTGAATCTTTGATCAGATATGATGGTACCATGCACATGCATTATTCTTTATCAATATTATTGGATGGGCCTTTCTGTCTTGGAGTTTCATCTCTTGTATTTATGTGAAATCTTCAAAAATTGCATTATATTCTTTTTTGATTTTTTTATATAATTTATAAGAGCATATATATTAAATTTTCATATCCCACCTCTCGCTGATAAAGGGTGCGTGCACGTAAAATATATGAGTTAACATGTTTTGTTAAAATTATCAGAATTTTAATTCAATGTATTATGTTCTTATTCCTTCGAGATTTCACATTACTTGAAGAGTACGTGTGTGTTAGCATTTTTTTTTTTTAAATATGTATTTTTAATACATCAAAATTTAAGTAAATTATAAAATAAAATAATTATTTTTTTCTCATAAATCTTTCCACCTTATTTAAAATTTTTCATTTTTATTTGGCACATAGAAATTGAATTGGGCATCAAGGTATTTAACAAACTATTTTGTTAAGTGGACCCTAATTTTGGGCCAAGGTTGGGCTGGGCCGGGCTAGATCAATCCAGATCAGCCTACCTATAAATATAATGGTAAAAATGGTTGATGTTTTAGCTTTGTTTCTGCAGCACGTCAAAAGGAAATCGCAACAAGTGCAGTAACTGAACTTGTTCAAGCAGTGAAGAGACCTCGGGCACTTAGTGAATCTACTAACCGTTCTTTAACGAGAAAATCTGAAGGTGGTGAAGAAGAGGAAAGAAAACGAGCTGTAGGAAGACGAAATTCAGAGAATGTACCTTCAAATAGAAGAAGAAATAGTTCAATGGAGCGAATCACTGAGTTACCTGAAAAGAAACCAAGAAAATCCATACGCCTTTCTTTTATGGGGTATGCAGCTTTTTCTTTCTTCGATGACACTATATAGTTCATACTTAATGTTTCAAAATTTTGATATATGATTTTTCTTTGATATTTAGGCTGATGAGGAAAAGTACTCAATCAAATGATGAGAGCTCTAATGATGGTATTATTCTTAATGATGATGATGATGATGATGATGATAACGATGATGGTGATCTGGAGACTGATGATGATGCTAGGCCAGATAGCGTTGATGATAAAGTAAGGAAGAAGGAAATGAGAAAGGGTATTGATCTTGCTACTACACTTGAACGTATAGAGAAAAACTTTGTTATTACTGATCCAAGGCTGCCAGATAATCCCATTGTAAGAATATTTTTATTTTGAAGCTTTTACGATTAGAACAATTCAAATTTACCTTGAAAATAACATTTGGTCGCTATTTTCAGCACAATCTATTTGCTTAATCTTATAATTAGTTATAACATTTGAATTAAATTTACAAGTAGGTATTTCTAATTATGTAAATTCTTCAGATATTTGCCTCTGATAGCTTCTTGGAGCTGACAGAGTACAGTCGCGAAGAAATCTTGGGAAGAAATTGCCGGTATATTCTTTGATTGTTTAAATAAAACACATTTTGTGCAGAAAACATTCTTAAAGGATCATAAAAAATTTTTGATGCTTGGACTTTTCAGATTTTTGCAAGGGCCTGAAACTGATCCAGCTACTGTGAGGAAAATAAGAGAGGCAATTGATAATCAAACAGATGTTACAGTGCAGCTGATTAACTACACCAAGAGCGGTATGCTTATTCAATATTATTCTAAATTTTGTTTGACAATTCATAAATATACATCTATTATATGCCTGCCTAGTTCATGGTGTTTATATAAAATAGGTAATTGCATTTCTTGTTAACATGTTAAAAAAGTAATTACTAAAACTAATTATTATGCTTTTTACTTAATCCAGGAAAAAAATTTTGGAACCTTTTCCATTTGCAGCCTATGCGTGATCAGAAGGTATTCAAATTTCTAATGGTTATATAGCTCATCAGTTCATTCTGTTGCTTTAATGAAATTATGGCTTTTTTTTAACAGGGAGACGTGCAATATTTCATTGGAGTTCAACTAGATGGAAGTGAGCATGTTGAGCCGCGCGCAAATTGTATTCCGGAAGAAACTGCGATAGAGAGTGAAAAACTGGTCTAACTTTCATCTTCCTTTAAAACTTGATTATCAGTTAATTATGATTTTAACTTCCTATTTTAGTTTTTGTTAATCTTATATATGTCTATTTTCAGGTGAAAAAAACTGCAGAAAATGTTGATGAAGCACTAAGAGAACTTCCGGATGCCAATATGGTAAATGCTTGAATATATACTCTTTATCATATATTTGGGAATGTATTTGTGATGCAGGGGTAACTCCAAGTTCTGCTTCTTCTGTTCTATCTGCAGACACCAGAAGATTTATGGGCAAACCATTCGAAGGTTGTCTGTCCAAAACCTCATAGAAAGGATTCTCCTTCTTGGAAAGAAATTCAAAAGGTTCATATTTTGTTGTTGCATCTGCATTATTAATTATTGTTTAGTTGTTGAGATTTAGCATTTTAAAAACGAATTTTCGCAATGTTGCAGATTCTAGATGATGGAGAACAAATAGGCCTAAAACATTTTAGGCCTGTAAAGCCCTTGGGATCTGGTGACACTGGCAGGTTTGTCTTCATTTTATTGTTATTACTCTTGTTATTTTACATAATCCTCCATTTCTTAATTATAATTTTTCTTTAGAAAATTCTAACAGACTTTTCAATTGGCTTGGCAGTGTTCATTTAGTAGAATTATGTGGAACTGGTCAATTTTTCGCCATGAAAGCTATGGACAAGAATGTTATGCTCAACAGAAATAAGGTATTTGAATAAAGAACTTGTTGATAAATTAAAAGATCAATAAGCAAAATATGATTATAAAGTTTAAAGTTAGTACTTGGATAAGTAAAGTTTGGGAATTTACTTTTCTGCAGGTGCATAGGGCTTGTGCAGAGAGGGAAATTCTTAACATGTTGGACCATCCTTTCCTTCCAGCATTATATGCTTCATTTCAGGTTAGAAAATGGCCATCATTGACTCCTATGATATATACAATTAATTGCTTCAAATTCTAATGTCTTTATGTTCTGCAGACTAAAACACATATTTGTCTGATAACTGATTATTGCCCCGGTGGAGAGCTGTTCATGCTTTTGGACAGACAACCAACAAAAGTACTCAAAGAAGATGCTGTGAGGTACAAATCTTTTAGCACTCACATTAATTTTTTTTAATTATTTCAAAACTTACTGCTTCTATTTCGATCTTAATGCAGGTTCTACGCTGCAGAGGTAGTTGTTGCATTGGAGTACCTTCACTGTCAAGGTAAAATTTTCCAGAGATTTTTTTAAGGGATAAAAATGTTTTGAAGTTTAATAATTCAGAACTAAAGTTTTGATTTCATTAATGTTTGAATCAGGGATAATATACAGAGATTTGAAGCCTGAGAACGTCTTACTCCAGAGCAATGGACATGTATCCTTGACCGATTTCGATCTATCATGTTTGACATCCTGCAAACCACAGGCATTTCCATCAGCCTTACATTCCCTTTTCTAGCTTCCACTATTTGAAGTCAATAGTGATTAATGGCTTAAACACTATAAAAATTTTGTTAAGTTAATATTGCAGCTTTTAATTCCAACTACATATGAAAAGAAAAAGAAGAAGCAGAAAAAGCAACAGCAGACTCCAGTCTTTATGGCTGAACCTATGAGAGCTTCCAATTCTTTTGTTGGCACCGAAGAGTATATAGCTCCGGTTTGTTTACCAACCAAAAAGAATCCGTATATTTAAGTTGAAAGAATAAAATAATACTAAATTTTCTTTTTCCATTTTGTTTATCAGGAAATTATAACTGGTGCAGGCCATACTAGTGCAGTGGACTGGTGGGCTCTTGGTAATTAAACTTACTATATATATATATATATATGTACACACACGTCCTTTCTGGCTTCTGCATCCATCAATCAGAATTGCATTGCAGGTTTTGGGATTGACTTGATTTTTGTTTCTCATTTTTTTTTTTCTAACGTGAACAGGAATACTTCTATATGAAATGCTTTATGGATATACACCATTTAGAGGAAAAACAAGGCAAAAGACTTTTGCCAATGTTCTTCATAAAGATCTTAAATTCCCAGGAAGTAGGCAGGTGAGCATATTACGATTTCACTGCATAATGTTTTAAACAAGATAACCAATATATATTTTTTTCCGTTACAGTAAATAGCATAAATAAAACAAGAATATGAAATTTGTCAAATTTAATGAATATTAATATTAGGTTTGGACAAAAAAAAAAAAAAAAAGACTAACCCCAGGAAGTAGGCAGGTGAGCATATTACGTTCACTGCATAATGTTTAAGAATAACCAATATATACTTTTTTTCCTTACAGTAAAGTAGCATAAATACCAAACAAAGGGAAAAAAAAAAAAAAAAAATTTTCTTTAACCAATTTAAAAAAAAAAATGAAATTTGCTCAAATTTAATATGACATATTAATAATTAGGTTTGACAAATAAAAAAAAAAAAAAAAAAGACGCATTTAGGTCATTGCAAGAAAATTTAGAAGTTGACAACATATAATTTTTGACTTGGTGCAGGTCAGTCTCCAAGCAAAGCAATTAATGTACAGGTTGTTGCACAAAGATCCCAAAAGTAGATTGGGTTCTCATGAAGGAGCTAATGAGATCAAAAGGCATCCATTCTTCAAGGGTGTCAATTGGGCATTAGTTCGCTGCATGGTAACAATAATCCCCTTCTTGCGGCTTCCCTTTCTTTTCTTGACACATCAGAAATAATTCAAGAATTAGGTTTCAACTTGCAAATTCATAGTCTTGGGGACAGCTCCAGTACTATGAACTCAAAGTGCATTAATTCTGCTTTTCAACTTTAACTTTTGGTTAATTTAGGTTAGACTGAAGATTTGAACTCGTAACTTTCCAATCTTGGAGACGGCTCCAGTATCACTAATCAAAGCTCATGTTTTTATTGCTTCTTTACTAACAATAATTGGTCATTTCACAGAAACCTCCTGTTCTGGAAACTCCTCTATCTCAGGCTGAAGCAGAAAAGGAACCTAAACTTGTGGATCCTGAACTCCTCGACCTACAAACAAATGTTTTCTAAAGAGGTAAAGGATTCTTTTTAATTTATTTTTGAAGGAAGACTTTTCTCTTTATTAGATTATATATTCTTATGATGTACTGTCATTTTTTTTTTTGCTGCAGAATTTTTTTCCTTTATTTTTTTTTTAAGGGAAGTATGTTATATGAACTGCATTTGGTAGAAGACGATGATATAATGTCAAAAGCTCATCTCATTTTTCCAATGGATTGATCTAGATTATGTTTCACCATTGAAATTGAGTGTCCTGATGGTGTTATATGTAATAATATAACATGCTTGATGCTTGTAATTTTGTGCAAGTATATGTGTTAAGTATTGCTTGCTTTGAAGTAATTTGTTATTGATTTAATTTACTGAAAATCTTCTTGCCTATTTACGTGAGGGGAAAGCTATGCAAGAGTTCCATAAATAAAACATGCACATATTGTAATTGATAATTTTACAAGAATTATATTTAATTACAAATTTAAAATTACCATATATTTGTAACCTAAATTAACTTTTTATCAACTAATCCTTCATAATTTATTTCTTCATTTAAATTAATCATATATATATATATATATATATATATAACACAATTCTTCATATATTTCATGGAACCTTGGATATTAACGTGTATCAATTGTATTTTTATTTTTTTTTTCAGTAATATTATTGGAAAGTAATGTTTTTCTTGTAGAAAAATGAAAAAAAAAAAAGAAAAAGATTCTTCCTTATGTCATGCAAGGAGTTTTATTTAAGAGAAGAGGATTCGAATATAAATTTATACCCAAATTTTATATACACATACGGCCGGATAGAAACTAAAAAAACCCAAGAATGTTATCGCATACCAACAAGAATTAATACTGTGGTCCAGGAAGTAGTTCAACGTTTAATTACAGTTACTTTCAGCTGTGATGAGCAATTCCTAGCTCAACATGTTCAATGAGAAACTATTCATTCCACCAGGAGGTCTAGGCAAGTGTTTTCCATTTTAATATTTTCATATTTTCGCATCATCATTCCACCAGTCCCACTATATATATACGAAGAAGAACAGGCTCTGCCATTTGCAGATGTCTCCATGCGTCGGTTGCGAGAAGCAATCATAGAGTTGGTTGCTATAAATAGCGAGCCAAAATAAAATTGACAAAAAAAAGAAATTAGATTAGCAGAAGCAAACAATAAGCACATATACAAATATAATATAATATTGTCATGACCCAACCAACTTTCTTTCCTAAACGCCAATGCTGTCTACTCAGTTGTTCCGTGCTATTGCTAGCAGCCTTAAGGATACCCATTCTGAAGTTCAAAAAGAACAAAAAACTATCAACTATGGTATTTTTTTTATTTTTCATTTTATTTTTAATTTTGATATAATTTGTAGCTTTTGTAGCTAATATTTAATTGGAAAGATTTGTACTAGGGATTTTTAAAATAAATCATAAATTTATATAAATTATTACTAATTATAGGGAAAAAATAAGACACAGTATAGTTAATAAAAATCAGTTCAATATTTGCAAATTTTCAAAATGACGAGTTCTTTTTGGACTTCTCTTTATTAATGAGGGATTTCATAATTTTATTTAATTTCAAAAATCTTCTAATTTTATAAATTTGATATGTATACTAAGCAAGGGAAATTTTACAATTTAACATGACTAGAGTTTTGGAGTTCTCAATCCAAATGTTTGGCAAAATGTATATTTAAACCTCCAAACTTCTCAAAATTTACTAATTAATTCCTTAAATTTTTATCCGTTGATATGAATTTCTCAATTTTTATTTCGATAAAGATTAAACTCGAAATTAACTAAGAGTAAATAACAAATCCAAGTCATTACGGCAAGAAATATAACCAATAGTAATATGACACATAAAAAATTATTACTCAAAATAAAAACTTTATTTTAATAATAAAAATAAAACTTGAAGGTTTTAATTTTAACAAAAACAAGTGAAATCCAATATACTTGATGATAACTTTTTAATTCTTGGTTAAATAAAAACTTAATTTTCATAAAAATAAAGGTTTAAAAAGTCAATGACGACAAATAAAATTTTTAAAAATTTAATATATAAAATTCGATATTTCTCAAGGGCATAAATTTGCAATTTGCTTTAATAATAATAATGTGAATTTTAGTTTTCCAATAATAAATGACTAAAGTTAATTACTATTTTTATAATTTAATATTTCTAGGTGATATAAGTAATTTCGGAAAACTCAAAATATGAGAATTGTTATTTAAAAGTGATAAAGAAGTCTTTATTGTAGGATATCATCAAAGTATTTATAATACATTTTTTTAATAACTGAAGATATAAATATATAGCAAAAATCTCGATTATGAATATCAAATAAAAATCTTGATAATTAATGAAATAAATACATAGCGAGAATGTATTCGGACTTATTTAGTTGCTCGGTTTGTCAACTCAAGTACAATTTAATAATTGTTCCTATCACTCCGCATAATTTACGAGAGTTGGTTGTGCCAAATCAAGATCAATGATTCCTCTCGGGGGTTTGTTTGTCCCTCCAAAATCCTTAATTCCATTGAACCATGATCACCATAGATAGAAAGGCACGTGAGTGCACGTGCAATAAGAGTATATTGTCTCCTTATTCTTTAAAAAAACAACCGTTTTTTCAGGTTTTTAAAGAGACATCATAATTACCCACACTGTTGGTCACCACTTGTTGCTATTATTCGACTGCGGATCCAAAGTCCCCACCTTTCTTCGTTTTCTTTCTTGGATTCTTCCACTTTCTCTTACAACATCGGCTTTCCCGGTAACCCATTTGCTAATTTTCCCGTCAAAAATAAAAAAAGAAAAAGGTTCCTAATAGTACAGGGTTTCCTGAACTTGATACTGATCATACCTACCTTTCTTCATTTTCTTTCTTGGATTCTACCCCTTTCTCTTGAACAATCTACTTTTCCGGAAAATAACAGTTGATTTTCGAGGGAAAAAAGAAAGATCCGAATAATACAGGGTCTCTTGAACTTGATACTGATCGTAACCATTTCACTAGCTTCTTGTAATTAGATTGCAATGGCAGCATCAAGAGAGGTGTCAAATATGATAAAACAAGGGTTTATTTCAGACCAAACGCTTTCTTTTTCACCTTCGAGAACAACTTCAACAACCACAATTTCTAGGGTTTTAAACTCTCCCAATTCTAAGACCCTAATGTCTCCACCTCATTTCAACTCCAATGAGTCAACTCAACCACCAACTCGCCCGGGTCACCATCCAACTCTCTTCCAAATGATGTCCGAGGAGCAAGCCCTTGAGCAAAATCGCCAAAGATCTCAATCAAAAATTTCAAAATTGGTAAAAGAATTTGACAACTTGAATAATTGTGGGCTGGGATTGGGTGATGTGAGGCTTACAGTGATAGGGAAAGATGGGTACAGGGTTTCATTTGATGTGCATAAAAGGGTTTTGATGGAGAAGAGTGGATTCTTTAGGGAGAAGTTAAGAGATGGAGAAAAGGGTGTAATGCATTCAGTAGAGATAAGTGAGTGTGATGATGTAGAGGTTTACATGGAAACTCTTGTTTTGATGTATTGTGATGATTTGAAGAAGAGATTGTTGGGAGAGGAGGTCACGAAGGTCTTGCAATTGCTCAAGGTATATTACATAATATTTATACGCATTTTAGATGACAAAACTAAAAGTTAGTTCAGATATCCATTTTGTTTTATTTATGGAAATGCTAATTTTATGCCGACTGTGTGTTGTTTGTTCTTTTTAACGTCTTCAGGATTTTTGCTTGCTTTGAAATGCTTTTACTTTTTAGTTTGGTGATTGCACGAATTTGGGAAGAGTAAAATGAAGAAGAGATTGGAAATTGATGTTTTATATCTTCTTGTTTGATAGGTTGCTAATATTCTAATTATTAGGATAGGTTTCTCATCTTTATATGTTGGGCTTAATGTGTTTTGTTTTGTTGTTCGGTGACTCCACAATGTTTGGTTGCCAAGAATGCTGAGGAAAGTGGGAGAAATTGCACTTTATGTATTAGCTTGGTTTGTAAATAGAAGGAAAAACTAACCATTCTCATCAGAAGAATGAAAACAGTTTCCGGAGTAGATTTGGTTGGCAGTTAATGGATTGAACATTTATTTGGTTGCAAATTTAACAGTTCACAATGGAACCAAATAATGTGTTATGATCTCTACTTGTGGTTCTGTGAAACATTGTTTTCTGCATACTATTACTTTACTGCTAGCAGACTCTGATTTCATGGCCATGAGAATTGCACACGTGTATGTTGCAGAATAGATACAAATCATAAGAAATAATAAAGGCTTTTAAAGAGCCGAAAGGGATCAGACTGGTCTAGCCTTTAGCAGCCTAAGAGCAACTCCTCTTTGTCCTAGAGCAGAGTTAGAATAGTAGGGGTTTAGGGACAGAATCAACTGCACATTTATCCAGTATGCTGCAATCCAAGCGTGAACTAGGAGCTGCAGATTAATCGGACTCTATCAATTCCGACTGAGTTGAATATGAGATTCATTTAAGAAGAAAATAGTAAAATGATGTACAAAAAATGTCTTCTCTTCCTCTGTTTTTCATCTGGGTACTTCAAATTGCTCTACTTTGTGGCTTAATTAAGGAAGTAACTTCAAAAAATGTGAAATGATGTATTTTTCTCCTCTGTTTTTCATTGCTGGTTTCTGCTGTGCCAAAGAGTTTGAAATATTCATTAAAAAAAATCATAATATTAGTGCCTGGTTGTAGGTATCTGCAGCAATCATGTTTGATGTTGGGATTATGTCATGCTTAGAATATTTGGAAGCTGTACCATGGTCTGAAGATGAAGAGGAAAAGGTCATATCTTATCTCGGTCAACTTCAGCTTAATGACTCAGCTACTGAAGTTCTGCAAAGAGTATCGTCTGAATTATCTACTACAAATGCTGATGATATCTTCCTTAGACTGTTGAACGGTGTCTTACAAGCCAAAGATGATAAAGCTCGCAGGGAAATGAAAACTGTAATTTCTAGATTATTTAGGGAAGACTCATCTGATAATGATAGTAGGCTTGATGTTTCTAAAAGTACACTTTATTCTCTCTGCCATGGATGTCTTAGTTCGCTCGTCTTCTGCTTATCTGAAGCTACATGCATGGATGATGCCAAGCGTGATAGAGGAGGTTTAATGAATGAAATAGCTCGAGAGGCTGAAAATTTGCAGTGGATTGCTGATATTCTAATTGATAAAAAAGCAGCAGATGAGTTTGTAAAACTATGGGCAGACCAGAAGGAACTTGCAAGTCTCCATCCAAAAGTTCCTACTATCTACCGACATGAAATCAGTAAGATTACAGCGCAACTATGTATTGCCATTGGGAGAGGACAAATCTTGGTGCCAAAAGAAACTCGGTTTTCGTTGTTGTCTACTTGGTTGGAAGCCCTTTATGAAGACTTTGGATGGATAAGGAGGGCTTGTAAATCCGTGGATAAGAAACTGGTTGAAGATGGATTAGGGAGAACAATTCTTACCCTTCCATTGCTGCAGCAACAAGCTATTTTGCTAAATTGGTTTGATCGATTCCTTAACAAAGGCGATGACTGTCCTAATATCCAAAGAGCGTTTGAGGTTTGGTGGAGAAGAGCTTTCATCAGACAATATGTAGGAGAGCAGAACAATTCCCAGTTACAAATAACTGTTTGTGATTATCCAAACTGAAAGGTATTCTCTTCAACAAAGCCATATAAAGTGGAAAGCCAAGTGTATATATATTTAGTGATATTCTTTTGTCAGCTTATATCTGATACTTTCAGACGATCCCTATGGATATGTGTGCTTGAAGCAAGATCCAAAACCCACACATTTTCTTTTCAGAAAAAATTACCTTAAATTACATAAGAAATTTAATACATAAATCAGTCTAGGTTTCTATATACATTATCTAACCTTCAGCAAGCAGATGGATGGTAATGGATGTGCACTCAGTTGCACTGCAAGATGAACTTTGAAATCTAGAACTCTTTAAGCCATGATAGGATCTAATCCTTTTGTCAGCATTGGCCGTGGATCAACCCTGCAGAGAAAACACTATTAGCTAAAGTTTTGTTGGTGGATGATGTAAATTGGTTTACTAGGCATGTCATGATTTAAGTCTTTCTAAAGAAGATTTCTCCATCACAAAAACTTTTATCAAGTTGATGTTTAAGCAATTCAGATCATGCAAATCAATATACATGACCTGCCCGGAATGCACCACTACTTTCCTGATTCACTCTTATGTTCTCTTAATAATCTGAAAGAGTTGAAGAATCAAAAACTGTTCAAGAAATAACATGCATTCCTCCAAATTCTGGAATACCCATGATAGCCCTTCTATTTGTTATCTGTGTGATGTTGATTAGTCCTGGAAGGAGCCCTTCTATGGAAATTTAGGATTTCTGCCAACTTTTACTATATAGCTATAGTTTCCCAGCCAAGTTAAATAATTTCTGACGAGATGCGCTAAGGTCAAGGGAATGTCCTGGTTCACAGTTGCAAGGCGCATGCACACCTTTGAGAGGCGAGTCACAGAAGTAATGGAACTAGCTAGATAACTACAAATTGACATCATATACTAACAAGAGAAACATTTTGTAGTCAATAATCTGTCGTTTTGAATTAACAAGCTTCTCCTAAATATATGATCTCTTACCAAATTATTACTGCTAGAATGAAAACAATTACATACTGCATCCCAAGGCAAAGGATTAAAAGAATAGTGGAAGATGAAAAGTACCATAATCCGTGTATAAAACCAAAAAACAAAAACATGAATATTTATTTCTAGGGTTCTTAGAAGTCAGTCCAACAAAAAAATAAAAAAGAAGAAATAGATGACTTGGAGAGAATAAAATATCTGACAAGAGAAGGAAGAGTAAGAAGTGGCTAGAGGATGGAGGAGACACCAAAAGAAAGAAGGATCAAAAGAGGGAAAGAGAGGAGAGATTGGAGAAGAGAAGATAAAAGGTATCTATTTCTAAAAATGGGCTAATGACCAAAAAACACCAATTTTTTTTTTAAGTTGCAATTGTACACAAACTTTCCAAGATAGACTATTTTATCAAAATTAAACTACCACTTCTTACAATTGAGGAGAGATTCAAGAAAGTTATGCTAGAATTGAGTTTGGGAATGAGTGATTAGAAAAAGAGTATTTCATTTTAATTATGATAAAAAGGTGTGCACCAGCTACGAATTTATAAAAATTAGTGTAAGTTAGTCTATTTTGGAAAAGGTTTGGTACAATTGAAGTTTTTTTTTTCTGAAAAGATTCGAGGTTTGACCGACGGCTCAATAGGGCCAGGAATTGAAGTGGAAGGGCTCGACCCCTGTTGAACCGCCTTTGATTCGGGGGCGCTACTTCCCTCACTATCGAAGGGAAAGTGGATGTACTGCTTCCAATTTCTGGTCATTAGGCTTTTATCAATTAAATATTTTAAAAATTTTTAAAATATGTGAAAGAAGATGTGTAAATTTTAAAAATATGTGAGAAGATGTGTAAGTAAATGTGTAGTGATTGAACAAAGCACTCTGAATAAAGGTAACACCATCATTTCTCAAATATCATTGATCAAGTAAACTTGTCACCCGACTAACAGTATGACACATGATTCCGAAGATGTGAGGCTTCATGGTAGATGTTGTTTCGTTTAGCAAATTGATTTCATTTTGTCCACGATAATCATCATCAAAATCGAACAAGAAAATAGAAGGAATATGTTTTTACCTTTGTTGTACTTTGAGTATTCCAGTGCCTAGCCGCATCGGGATGCCCATTATGATGCATTCACTAACTCCCTCAATCCTGTCATCTCTCCCGTGTACAGCTGCAGTATACAGATGATCCGATGTTTTTTCAAATGAAGCCAACATCAATACACTCTTGTCCATCTTTTGAATACCAAATCTTGTGATTCCAAGAACTTCACCCTGTTACAATATCAGTCAAATCAAATTTCCTTAGAAATAAATGTCTGGAAAACAAGAGCCAAAACCAAATCTGTCAGCGATAATTCTCAGTGAAAAATCAAAACGGCTACAAAAGTTACCTTAAATGTCATTAGATCTGCTAAAAGCATCATGTGACGTGTGTCAATGCTCATGCCATGACCTTCCATGACATTTTTTATCTCATCAATGATGCACTTTCTGGCAGCCTCAATTCCAAGATACTTAAAAATTTCCATTACATGATTACTTGTTGTTTTGCGTCCATCCACTCCTTCAGTTCCCATAACTTCTTGAAGACCCATGCTACAAAGATTTACATGACATATGGTCAGGTTTATAAAAATATTTCAGATCATACTCTCTAATGACAACATGGAATACAATCATAGGAACAAGGGCATCTTTTGGGAAAATCAAATATTTGTCATCTCATCATGTGCAATACTCCAGTATTCTACGAATTGTTCAACTTTCTAGGGCATCTTTTGGCATAATTAAACTTAAATAGCTAAGGTCCACTCATTTATTTTCAAATCAATGACACTGCTTGATAATTGCTATATAAAGATGAGCAACCTCAGTAGTAAGACTTGATTGTTGTTATCATTAACTTTGGGTTAACAGCACTCAATTAACAGCATCAATTTCAGCAGAGTAAATGAACTTCAACTTTTTGCAGATGAATCACCAAATTTAATTTTCACTTCATAAAGTCATTGTGGCATATCCAGCGAATCATTGCTGGTGATATGACTTGGCAACCTATTGGAACTCAACCTAATAAGCCTTGTTGGGAGAGAATAGTTTCAGGCTTTCAGCTGTTACTATTCCACTTTGCATTGCCTAGTTTGAGTAAATAGGCACTCTGGACTCCCATGACAGATTTCTAACTGGATTGTAGTTCTGGTGACCTCACTGAGACAACATTAAGCTTTGGTGATTTTTCTGCAACAAACTAAAGTTACCACACGAGTTAAATGCTTAGTTGAATAATCACAAGTGAGATTTAACCTATATCAATCAGAAATTTAATTTCTTTGCTACATTTCCTCCCTCCAATCTTTCATTTGAAATTTTCTGATCCACATTAAAAGAAAGGATGAGGAGGGAGTGAAGGAGAAACGTAATATATATATAAACACACAATCACAAGTGTTCATTTCACAAAAGGAAGATTGGCTTGCTAAGGGCTTCGATCATCCTGTTATAGCTTCTATTCAAGCAAACAAAACATATTCCTTCATGTAGACATTTGTTATAGATGAATAGTAGAAAAGCCTTCACAAATATAAAATTTTATTCAGAAACAAGAAACTGGGCACTGAGGACAGGCCAATAGATTATCTGCCCTCCATTGCTCTTGTGGAATCTTGTCAGCAAAACATTGAGCAATGTGTGAAAGAGTAAATAATACCTGGCATTTCAATTCTGTCACGATGTTCTACATGTAATGTACAAGGAGCTTGATTAATCCACAACTTCTTAATTAGGGAAGATTTTCAAATTTAGTCCAATTCTTAAACATAAATGTTAGGAATGTATTTAAAACAAGTTTTCACAAGGAATTTAAAATCTAAGATAAATTGCATTCTGACAATATGTTCAGTTCCTTGGAGCTTCAGCAGCAGTTGCAAGACAAAGATAAAAAGCAGTGATTATTGTATTAGGCAAACCATTATAAAAACATGATTTCTAAGGAGTTATATCATCTAAGCAATTAATGGCTTTTATATGAACTATAAAAGATGCATGCCACTACCAAATGGTAAGCAAAATGTTTTAATTGCTATGATGGTTGGTCCTGACATCATTTTATGGAACAATCAGCTTCCTCCTTAAACTTTTACTTTCAGTGCCTTGACATGGTACCAAAATAATGCCATTGCTACTGAGTAATGCTTCATTGGTCTCATTTCCCCACATTTGCTATGATGCCTCGACTTTAGTGCCCACGTGCTTGCCAAATCATTCACAATGAAGAAATTTGACAACCATGCAAAGTTAGTTTACATGCTTCATTGTGAAGCAAAGTAAACCGACTTACATTCCTATACATATATAGTATTGAACATTTGATAGAGCTCGGAACCAAAGGGGTGAGCAGGGCCCGGGTGAGACAGAACAAGGGGCAAAAAAGGCAACCAAGGCAGCTTGGATAGCTCATCTGGATGGAGATAAAGAGAGCTTCAGCTTTCAGAGATTAGGGTCTCCACTCTTGGTGCAATTAATTGGGTTCAATTAATTGCGGGTATCCTTTAGCATGGGTTGTCTAACACATGGTCCTTCAGTGTAGGTTGCCAAACACTGGGTTTATCAAAAGTGGGTTTTACTCTCGTTTATTTTGCTTGAGGAATCTAGTGGGGTGATAGCAATTGTTTGATGTTCATGTGATGGTATACAAATATTGTGGGATATTGAATGGGGACCCTCAAGGGAAATCGCAATATTTTGTATGTATTTTTTTATTCCCAAATCATCTATATTGCATAAAGACCGGAAACTCAAATGGCAAGGCACAGGAACTAGCCAAAACAAAAACATTGATTTATAAATAGTTTAACGGATAAAACACGTTGTATCTGTAGAAAACTAACCCTTCTACAAACATGTTGTAGGTTGGGAGCTCTTGAATACTTGCTTTACCCTCACGCTTTTTTTGGGCAATAACAGCACGTTCAACAGTTTTTATGCCCTGTCATCCAAAGACATGGTAAATACACATGCTACCAGCAATACTAAGTGAGAAAATGAAACATAATCTGGAAAGTTCTCTCACCTTTACTGTAATTGATGGAAGCATATTTTTAAGAGAATGGAGCTCAAAATGAACTTTTTCTCTATCACCCAGGGGAATAACTTCCAACTTTCTAATATCCAATACCTTGATATTCTGCATGTAAATATAGCCATGGAATGTTTAACCTGTAATTCACAAAATGTTAAGAATTACTATATAATATTTCTTACCTGTGGCTTTAGTTTAGTTCTTGGAGTCTGTAAAATGGATTCCCTCACAGTGTTAGCATCCAGAGATAATTGCGCCTCTTGAATTGTTTTCATGTCAAGTGTAACCACTACAGATGCTGATCTTGAAGTCATTACAATTTTGATACTCTTAGCAATCTACAATATGATAAGGAAATCAGATTAGCAGATAGATTTGAAGTAAATGAAGAAAAAGCAAGAAATACCTTCAAATATAGAGCAGACGACTGAAACACAATTTGCTATATAAAAGAAATTTAAAGCTTATTTTGAGGATATAATATTACAAGTGCAATACGACACTGGGACTCACAGAAGCTCCAATATATGAGAGATAGACTAATTGTAGTAAATGAAGATAAAACAAAAACCATAATTGATGTTAGAGAAAAGCACTTTAAATATCTGAAACAAATAATAATATGCAAAAATCAAGAATTCCCTGAGTTCCAAACTTCAAAAAACATAATACAAACAGAACTTGTCAAGAAGACTAACTGAAAAGGCAGCGCTTTAATGTCTGCTTATGAATTAACTGCATACCTGGCCTAAAACAGTTTTTTCAATACGAGTTTTCACAATTCTGGCAGCATTCACATTAGTATTATTCTCAAGCTCAGTAGTAATGATAGGTGTACTGATCTTTTTGGCCCCATTTATTATTTCTTTGATGCGAGGAACTCCTTGTGTGATATCTAAAAAAACACTAAGGAATCAAACTGAAAACCCATTTATATCCAGATCTTAGAAGTAATTAATAAAGTGTTAATTGTCAGTCAAATGAAATCAGCAAGGATACTCATGCTTGCAACTCCAGCAAAGTGAAAGGTCTTCAATGTCATTTGTGTCCCTGGCTCCCCTATACTTTGAGCCCCAATTGCACCAATTGCTGTACCAGGTTCAATTCTTTTCCAAAGATAACGAACAATGCAGGTTTTCAGAAAGACCTATAGTTTGATTATAAATCACACACATATAGTTAATGTCACTATAAATCATAAGTGAAGAAAATGATATATTTTTAAACATCAAGCAAAAAGCTACGGCTGGAAAGAAGAGCAGGAAAAATAAAGTCATTAAAACAAATAACAATTCCAAACCAAGAGCTACCAAAGGCAAAAGCTGTAAGGCTCTGATGAGCCGAAAGAATGTCAGGAACACATTTGTTATTATGTATATATATGTTGACTTGTATAAATGTTTGGCATTGTGCTTTGAAGGCAAATGACAATGCCAAACTCCCTCATATTCTTTTGCTGGTAGAACTGAACCTAGAATTACTTTTTCTCCACCCTATTACCAGCTGAATTGGAAATGAAGGCATGCAAAATAAGTCCTAATGTAATTGCAATAACTGACAGAATTAAGAGCAAGAACAAGAATCTCTCTTTTTTTTTTTCTTTACATCCTTAATTTCAACACCTTGAAACAGCATAACTAGTTAAACATAGCATCCCTTGAGCTAGGACAATGATCCAGATGATTTTGATGCCATCCATTATTTTCTTGCAAGTCATTAAGTATTCCTGAATTAGAAACAGAATAAGCACGTGGACATCCAATTTTCTCATGACAAACTTTCCTCTAATGACTTGAAAATCTCAACTTCGTCTTCTATTGATATTGCTTTATTTTCTTTTTAATTTTCAACATATTGCACCTGGAACAAGGAGAAAAACAAAGTTTTCTTAACTGTGAGACCAGAACTAGACAATAGCTAGAAGAAAATTTTCATCAGGCTCGGGCGCCAACTTCCCCATAGGCCCAATTCCTAGAAAGCTATGCCTTATTCCACTTTATCAGTCTCAGTGATCCACAGTTACTCAGCTGATGTTCTACCTCATCAACTAAAAAGGGTAATGCGTTTGTAAGCATAACTATTCTCTGCAAATTATTTTTAGTCTTCATCTCATTCCAACCTATATGGTTCTATAAACGTATAGAGCTACAAGAAAAAAGTTGTAAGTAAAGCACCAAATGATCAATAAAACAATAAAAGAAAGAACAAAATGTCAGTCATAATTAGCATTAAATAGTAAATACTGACCTCCAACTGTCTTTTGGTAATACCATATATTTTATGTGCCAGTTTCTCTATATTAGTAGTATTTCCTCTTACGCCTCCAACTTCTTCCATATTTTCAGAATTTTGCTCCTCAACACCATTGTCCAATTTCAACATCGTTTCCAATCTCTTAACATGATTTCCCAGGAAGAAACTGAGGTTCTGTTTGAAGGCTTCAGAACAAACGCTATCAAAAGCCTTGTCATAATCATCCAGCAAAGTTTTCACCCAGCTGGAGATATCTGAAGGAGATAAGTAGTCCCCTTCTCCAGCAGGACAGGTGGCCTATAAATTCACATTCAGCAGTTGTTTTCAATGTTTCCAATAGTTTTAAATTCCAGATAATTAGAGAGGCAAAGCTACAAACCTTAACTTTCATGAACAAGCGATCAAGATTCAAAGGAACTCCGCCTTTTCCTTCCATTTTTGCAGGATCCAAGCCATCATCTCCATAAACAAATTGAACTACAGATCCATTTGCACTTAGTACTTTATTATCATAATCAATAAACAAGTCCTCCAAACCCTTTATGAGTCGACGAGACATGTACCCTGTGTCAGCTGTTTTGACCTGCAGTGTTAAAGAAAGTCAACTATCTATTGTAAATAGGCTAGCATGATCTTAGGGATTGAATACATAGGGTTTCATAAATAGGTTGCAAACACTTGTATATAATAGTGTACTCACCTCACTAATGATATATAGAATCATTCATCAAAGATTATATGCAGCAACAACAATTTAATAACATCTTCAGCATCTTAAGATAGTAAGGAAATCCCAGTTTCCTCTGCTCTTCCACTCCATACCATCCATATTATTGAACTAAGATGGCAATTTCAGCACTCAGGATAAACAATGTTACGGGTGTGAGTGTGAGTGAGTGTGTATATGTGTATGTGTCTGCGTGTGTGTTTGTGTGTGTGTGTGTGTGTGTGTGTGAGTGTGTGTGTGTGAAAGAGAGAGAGAGAGATACTACATACGCATTGCACTATCACTGACAGAGATTAGCAATTTGTATTACATATAAAGAATTTCCAAACAAGCATGATCAGTCTTTTAACATTGTAGTTTGTTCTCTAGAGCTGTTTAATAATATGCAAGAGTTTAACTACAGTTTCTTCAGACTTGCTCAAATTTTTCTTTAAGTCATTCCATGACTTGGAGTCGTTGGCTTTAAAAGGTTCCACCAATAGAAGATGAACAAGTGAACATGTGATCAATCTAAATGGGTAAGGAAGCAATAATGAAGATTATCCATACCGCAGTGTCCACAAGACCTTCTCTGCCACCCATTGTATGGAAGAAAAACTCAGTTGCCGTCAAACCACTATAGAATGAATTAGCAACAAAGCCTTTGGCCTGCATAAGAGCAAAATCCATGACAATTTTTTTCATTGACAAGTACTTTAAAGAATACAAGTCGAAACACTAAGCATTTCCAACAGCTAATATTGTAAACAGATCAAATGTAAAATTATAGAAAGAAAGGTGAAGATATAAGTTTAAGATTCTGTACTTTTCTTTCTCCCAGTTGTGCATGCAATAAACATAGGTGGTAGAGTGCAATCAAATTACAAAAACAATGATTACAGATCATTAGCAAGCCAGGTGCATCACATATCCAAATCAACATTCAAGTTCCAGCGTGATTTCGACTTCAGATTATCACAATGAGATCAACACAGAGAAAAAGAAAGTCTTTCAAAAGCTATAGGAAGTTTCACCAATGGTATCATTTAATTATAGTCTCAATAAATAGTCAAAGACATTTAGAAAGACCATTCAGAAAGACACGACAAATACTTACAATGACAATAATAGTTAATTCTGGTTTTCTTACAATGAAACTTGAAGTCCAAATATTGAACCAGGACAAGAAAGACAGGCGGGATAGGAGCGTAAAAGGCAATTCTGTTGCTCATACATTAGAAAAAGCTCTTTAAAAATAGGTATCAATCACAATATTGGCCAAGGTTAACAATATTCAGTGGCACAACTATGGAATTATCAAAAATTAGAAAATGAACTCACATTCATGAGTACACAATTATGTAACTAATCATTAAGACCAGATTATGATAATCCAGTCACAATTGAAATATTAAATATGCATAAATCTTTCTTAATTATTTTTTTTAATAGCATTGGAGCAAAAATATTTAGGATTTTAAATTCATTTTAACATTATTAGATATGAAATCAAGTTTTTTTTATATACATGGCTAGCGCCCCTTATCACAATTTGATAATTAAACAAAAGAAGTGCCAACAAGGATTGACAATTAAAATGCAAGATTAAAAACTTTGAAAGTGCTTTATGTTAATTTGTAGCCCTTATTATGCAAATGGGTAGTTAAGAGAGAAGCCAATAAAAGATTAAAAGAAGGCTCATTAGACAACGCGTAATTAAAAGAAAAGGCCCATTAGACATTAGGTTATAAGAAAAAAGAAAGAAAAAGTCTATCCAATTGCCTAGGTGCAGCCCCACACATGCCCCACTCTTCTGTCGCTCTTCTTCTTTTGCTTCTTTGTTTTTTCCTTTTTATTTTTACCTTTTCCCAAAATAAAGGAAAAGACCATTCTGTTAATAACAATTCCGCATCAGTACTGTTGTATTAGCCACGTCAGACAGATACAAGTGTATCCAATTGCCATCATGAAACTAAATCACAAAACGGTTGGCTTAAAATCCAATATATATCAGTTGATAAAAGGCATATTCAACTGACTTCTAAAACCACGTGTAGAAATACAGATTACTTATTAGCAGGAAAAGGAAAAGGAACCTATTCTGCCCAACAGAAAGAAGCTACTTTCAGCCACAAGTATCACTGAACCCTTAATCTGCATGAGATATTAGCATAAAGATTACTAACAAAAGCTCCATTTAAGTAACAGAAATCAAGTTAAACTCTAGCTCCATGCCACATGGGCTTGGTATCTGAACCCAACTTCAATACATCGCAATAGTATCTGATCTGTTTCAATTTCTAAGTTCTAACAATAGCTATTCCAGGAAGTACCAGGGTAGACATTTCTGCAGATGCGATAATATCACTCTAGGCAGCTACGTATTTTTGGACAGTTGAATTACATGACGCCTCCATATGATTCAGGTTTCACACCAAAATACAACAAAAGAATAAATGATAAATTGAGGAAGGAAATTGAACTTACTGCAGGGGTTTTGGATTTTCTAGGGAAATGAGGAAGGCTTCGATCCATGAATCCATCTGGCGCACGACGACCCCCAACTGATTGCTGACCAACACATGCAATCATCTGGCTGATATTGATAGGGGAACCTTTTGATCCACACTGTGACATGATCAATGGACTGTTTCTCCAATGTAATTCTTTCATGCATACCTACAAGAAGAAAGTAAAATTATTGCTGGGATTTACGAGGTGCCTCCAAAAGCCAACAAAAATAAACTTGATGACTTGCATCAAAAAGAAATTGACTTAAAGCAAATAATGATTTAGTCTTTCAGTAATGAATTTCAAAAGCAAAAGCCAGATTATCAGTCAACATAACTGACCAGTTAAGCTGAAAAACGAAAAACAAAGTTAAAAAGAGTTAACAGAGCCAAACAGTTCAGTTTTTCAGTTTGTATTTTTGCTGTTTTTAGATTGGTTTCAGTTTTACCATCCAAAAGTTCCTTAGTTTACCAACTGAACCATTATATAGTAGGATCATGAAATATTTGTATCAACCACTCTATGTAGCTTGAGGTGGAAAAAAGGAGAAAAATTACTCTCCTTTCCACTCTCCCTCTGAAGAGAAAGAAAATGAACGCCGAACAAGATAACAAAGGGGTTTGTCCTTCATTTTCCTTCCTTTGCTCCTTCATACCCTCTAGCCATGCATAGTGTTTGCAATATCTACACATTATCAATTTGAACCCAAGTTTTTCCTTTTTTTTTTTTTTTTTGACTTATCTCACATACTTCCCTGCTACCCTTGCTGTCTATCCCTCCCCAAATACTACGCAATGGAATTTTTTTTTTCCCCTATTTTCTTCTTTTTCTTTCTCCCTTGAGGACTGGTCAAATCTAGCAAAAAAAAAGCTTTAAAAGTAAGATCTCAATTCATATTCTCATTCTCCTCTCTCAAAATAAATCTTTCCCTTCATCAATGTCTTCAGATAGTAAAACAAAATTAAATTGATTACTCAACTGGTCATACGGTTAACCAAAACCTTGAATAGTCTCTCTCAATGGTTTAGTGTTAAATCAGCATTGTTTGTAATAATGTTATTGGTTCAGTAAGAAATAAAAAGATGCATGTTAGGAACCATAAGCACCCTTGCCCTGCAATGCTAGATCCATATAAAGAAATTTAAAAAAAAAAAACAAAAAAAAAGAAAGAAAGAAAGAAAGGCAGAAGATTATGTATGCAATTAATAAATATCCTCACAGAAACAGTCAAGACATTCACATAATGAATCAAAATTTAAAAGAGTCCAGATCCTCACATCACCAGCTTGTTCTCGAAGCTTGTTTAATGTTTCAGTTATTTCAGCTTCCAATGTCTGAATGGCATCACAACCTGGTTTAAGTGCAAGCTTTCCTTCATTGTATTCCTGTATTAGTTTATCACAATGTTGATAGCCATTTGAAATTGTTTTTGCTTTTTCATCAATCAGTTTTTTTCCTGGTTGGACATCATCAATCCCAATTGAGAAGCCATGATTTCCTATCCATCTAGCACTGCATTTCAAGGAACAATCACATCCAATCAACCGAAAAAAAAAAACCTGTAAACATAATATTAACATATGCAATTTGTGATTGTGATTGTACTACATACCAACAACCTAAAAGAAAAGATAAGAAAATACTGCAAATAATTTCTTTACATCCTAGAAAGTATGTAGTTAAGGCAAACTACTAAACTTCTAACCACTTTCCGTATTTATACTTTTTAGTCCCCAACTTTTGTTAAAGGCACAACACTTAATCCCATCTGCAAGCTGTTAGTCTGTTAGTTCAAAAATATTTCGGCTTGGTCAAAGGTGGAGGTGCATCACCCTAATGACATTCAAAGACGAAATTGTCTCTAACACACTCTCATGATGAAAATATTGAAGAAGGGAAGTTTATTTTTCGGTCACTTGTTTGGATAGAATCCTAAGGAGGGACGAAGGATAGTAGTCTTATTATAAGGAAAATTATAATTTTGCCCTCAACTTTTTGGAACAAAAAGATTAGAGGGCTAGATGATAATTTGAACTTTTTTTCACGTCTAGACTATTTTTAACTTCTGTACTAATTTCTTTCCTATTGTATCCCACACCATTCTCTACCACTACAATTTTTTTATTCATTGAAACATCACCTATTCCATTGTCTATTGCACCTATTAATTTGCCCAGTCAGGTTTCTTCCAGAGCAGCATCATAGTTAAACTACGGACTGTCCAGTTTACCTCATAGTACTTGTCACATCTGATATCTATTATCTCCAACGCTGCTCTTCTAAACCAACAGACAAGCAGGTCCCACAGGTTGGAAAAATGTTTTTGAGAGAAAGGTGACCAAGTGCTATTCATATTATGAAATTTGCTTGGGTTTTCAAAAAGGATCACGAAAAAGTGTTATTAGAGGACTATAAAATCCTAACATTCAATTTGAGGAACATCCTAAAACCTTAACTGAAATAAACAACATGTGCATCAGGCTACAGAGAAGGACATAGAATCATATGTTGTTTGGTGCTCAGATGAAGGGTTAACCATACATCATCGCACATGCCATTCTCAACACACAGAATAGGATGAAAAATCTTCAAATGGGCTTATTATTATTACAGAATCTGAGGCACAAAATGCTATATTCATTATTAAAGTTCCAAAAGCAAGCTCCACTTTAAGAAATTTTGAGAGCCTCCAAAACACCAATGATGTGTTTTCTGAAGTTTTCCTTCAGCCTTCTTACCTCTTAAGTACATATTCTTTCTTTTTTTGCAGGTTTTTCGCACTACAAATTTTCCTTATGCATACATGTAGTTCCATTTTCCTGTCTTACTTTCTGCATTGCAATGTCCATGCAGAAAAGAAAACCCTGAAGCTTACATTTATGAATTTTTCATATTTCTGTCGCCAAATGTAATTATTGCAATGACATTCAACCCGAACAACTAACCTAGTTTTCTTTAATCTCAACCGCCAAATCCTTAATTTTCAAACCTGCATGTAGGCATATTCCTCAAACTTTCCCAAGTCGAAAGGTTGAATTAACCTTTGCATAACATAAAAAAGTTGGAAGCCCCATTGGAGCAAAAAAAGGGAAAATCAAATTAATCAAAATTTCCATTCAGGAAATAAAATTCCAGTGTAAAACATCATAAACCTGCCCATCCAACAACACCAAGCAAATAATACGAGTTCAATGTAAAACAAGATATTTAAATTCTGATATGTGAACATCAAAAGATAATCTCAAAACTAAAATTCATTGCAGTTGAACCAAAATAATGAGGAGGAATTTGCTCATTGAAGGACTTGTGATAGACAGTTACCTCAACTTAGCTAACCGATTCATGCAAATAGCAGCTGCATGTGGATTGTAGTCTCTGAGAAGAATAGAGTAAAGTCCATCCTTGTTGCCATTTCCTGAAAAAATATTGCTTATATAAGAAAAATAAAATTCTCCACCAAAACTGTGTTTCAGAAACTGGATCAGACCAAAGATTGGTTCCATATGGTCAATTTTCAATACTGTTAGCTTTTTAAATATACAGTTATCTTAGACCAGCGCAACTCTAGCTAGTTTACTTGAAAGGGACTGCAGTGCTACAGAAACAGGAGACTAGAAATTGGGAAGTAAAGCAAATCACTTCTGAATTTTCTAAGTCAATCATAGTTTTCTCTGATAGTTGCTCTTTTAAAGTGCATATTCATTTCTTTGAAATAAGATAAAGCATACCTCAAAAAAATAATAAACATCACACAAGATTATCAATTCTACCAACCATTTTGGATGAACAAGAAAACTTACCTATAGTAGCCTTTCCCAGCTGTCCAGAGATTAGCTCACTATTTCGAATATAAACAAAACCATCGTTAGGGCACATTGTTTCTTTTTCTCTTTTATCTCCTGGTTTAGGTTTGGAGTATATCTTCTCCTTAACAGTGAGATTCAGGTAGACTCTCACATTTGCATTTGGACGAAGTAGGACGCTGAATAATTGTTTACCAGTCCAAAGCTCTATTGGCTGCGCAACAAGAACTTCAAAATCATAAAAGGTAGAGGAATTTTCGGACAACCAAAACATGATAAAAGGATATGATTCTACTGAAAGAGAATGATGTTAAATCAAATCTCTAGCATGCTTAAACAGATCAGCACATTTTCCTGATCACCGAACTGTGAATATCAACTAAAATCTAAATGAATTCCACATGGATCCAACAATTTATGAAGGGGCTTAATTTCACGTTTTCACCAAGGGCCATTTAAATTATCTCCAAATTTCAGCACAATCACTACACTTCAATTCATATTAGCACACATAAGTCACTTTGATTTCGTTTCAAATAAATTCTATGTTGCAAAACTTCTGTAAATATCTTAACCAAAATTTTTGAGCATTGACAGAGAAAAAACCTTATTCAGACAAACTTAAAGCTGAATGATTCTGCTGATCCAAGTTGAAGTTTAGATGACCAAGTTGACAAAGTAGCAAGTTCAATAATCACTGGTGAAATTAAGCCGCTTAAGGTGCAGGTGTGTGTGAGGCATTAATCTGGAGTGATTTTGTGTCAAGCTGCTCAATTTAATTGTGAGACATGAATCCTTTTCTCATTCCAGGCCTTAGATGTTGCAATGCGTAAATTACCAATATAAAATTCAATCAGGCCCTTTTAGACTCAATTACCATCATGAAAAAACAACAAAGAAATTAACATCTAAAAGCCCTAAACCAGAAGGAGATGAGGAAACCTCACTTTTAGAATTATTAGAACAAACACTGACACACATATATATTGTTAAAAAAAGAAACCAAGGGAATATTTCATATCTATAATCTAACCTTGAGTATTGCAGGTGTTGGCAAATCAATAAGATCCATGCCATCATTCATATAAGAGCACATAAGTGAAAAAGCAGCACGGTCATAAAAAGTGTCCTTCCTTGTAATGAGAAAAGATGAAGTTAGAAAATCTTGTGTGGAAGCGACCAAGATCTCTCCATTTTTTGGCGTGCATAGATTGTTTTGAACCTGAGGAACACACATAAAATCTCAGACAATTATCATAATGTTACAAGAAAAGCAAAACAACATATGAAACAATGTAACCGGTCCAAGAAAGGCTCATGAATAATATTTAACACCACCCAACTATTATTTACAACTATGGCCCACTGTTTACCAAGAGAGCTAGAGGGAGACAGAGAGACAGAGAGAGAGAGAGATGTATATTCCAGAAAGCATCCTTCAAGTTGACTCTGATATTCACTATGAAACAGCACCTTAAACATGGGGGCTTGTTTGTTAAATTATAATCCAACTCATTATGTAACCATGAGTATAATGCTTTTTGAAATTTCTATTTATGCTAGTAGGTTATGCTGCAATTAAATGGTATAGTAATTACTAGAGCAATGCCGCTGAATTTGTTTTAATCTGGTATTACATATTTGGGGAATTTTCTTAAATATAAAACAACACCAAGATGAAAACAAGCATAAACAATCAATGGAATTTGAAACAATTGATAGCTAAAGGTATAGTACTAGACAATGGGAAATTAAAATGGCCACTAGAAAAGCTTTAAAAGGAAAGCAACCAACATGCACAGTCTAGAAAATTCCATTGGCGTTCAAAACCTGAAAGAAAGCAAGAACTGAGCTTATTCCCTAATGGATGTGTAGATAGAAGGGGAAAAAAACAAAATGAAAAATAAAAAAGACCCTAAAGCTAAAATGATAAAAATAAACTCCAAAATATTGCAAAAGTGAGAAAAAAATTAATTTATATATCTATATGTCAATAAGAATTCCATAAATTGAAGGAATTCAGTAAACAGTTACTTTACAGCAGTCAAATGTGTCATTTTTCATGAAATTGAACAATACCAAATGTGATTGAATCATGGTGCACTATTGGATCAGTGGGATCATTGTGCCCCCACTGCAGATCCTACTTTTTTATGCTGTCCATTTCATGCACAGCACACCTTGGAAAAAAAATCAATCACAAAAATGGACCAAATCATTTAAAAATTAAAGTTGCCGTTAAAAGGAGGACATCACAATCAAGGAAACAGGAACCAGGAGGAGGAATCTTGACGCAAAAGTGCCAAATAAGGTTAGATCTGACTCTTTGCTTTGTCCCGCTGCCAATTACAAAAATTAATTGACAACAATGAAATCAAACCATGGATTCAATATCTATATTTGACGTACTTATGCTCACTATTTGTTCTTAATTTGTTGAACTCCTTCAATACCTATTCATTAATGATTTCAGCAATTTAAACTCATTTGTTCAATACCAGGCTGCAGTGGCTATGTACTGGCTGCAAAGGTTGCATAAGGGCCCATCAGAAACAGCCACAACAGCAACTGCAGCCACAAGTGCAAGTTAAAATCCATGGTTAGCATACCCTAAATAATGTTGGATAACAATAGCCAGAGCACCTTTTCTTTCCCATCCAGCATTTTTGTGCAAAAACTAACACAATTTAAACAGTGTAATCTAGAAGTTTAGGAAGTGAGTAAATGTGTGTTTGTTTAGTTGTGATGTGTGCTTTAACTAATAGTTTTGAGTTCTGACAACTACAGGCTTGTTTAATTGTGGAGAACAAGGCATAATTCCAGAAAATTATTCCAAGAAAACTAGAAAATGGAGCTTGGTGTTCAGTTGTAAAAATTTTCTGAATTGAAAATTAGAAATCAATTTTCAAGTTTTCGAAATTCATGTTAACCCTTGAAATTAAGAGTTATGACTTGATGTGGAAAATATGCTTGTTTTCCATTTCTTCAGCATTTCTTTGTTGGATTCAAATCTTGGAAACAGCATTTTGTATATTATTTCATATGTAAATGCTTTTTCTTATTTTTCAGAATTTCTTTCAATTTTAATTTTAATAAAGAAGTGCTGTATAAAAAATTTTTTGTAAGTTGAAATGTTACACTCAATAGTTTTATTATAATAGCCATGGCAATTTCAGAATTGAAAAAAAATATCTTTTAGGTTAAAAAAATTAAGAAATTCAAGTGTGGAATTATTATGTATTCACTTTCAAATAATTAGTGTTTTTAATAAAATAATAGTTTATTCAATATAAATATTCTCACAAAGTCAAAATGGAAAACAAAGAATTGGATAATTAAACAAATGAACCTGTTTCCTAGTTTTTCAATTTTCAATTTGAAAAATAGAAAGATAGAAATTGGAAAATGGAAAAGAAAACTAGAAAATATAAGCATAAAAAGTTTCCAGGCTAAACAAGGCCATAAAGTTTTCACGTTTACCAATAAAAATGCACAGGTTGATCATTGATGGTCATTGACACTTTATGAATGTTTACTAGACATACAAGCTATGAGAGGAAACTCAATTTCCACACGGTTGAATTCCAATATTACAAACAAACACTCAGCGAAATTACTTAATTGATTAGCGATGGGGTATTTTTCTATAAATAATTCTATAATTCAAACTTCACAGATTAAATATTAAATTAAAAAAAAAAAGTGAAAAACGATAGGTTATGAAGAGAACCTAATGTACTACATTATGGTGCATTAAATTCATTTCCCTTCACTGAAAACTGTACAATTACTGAGTTTCTTACTATGTAGAGAGCACATATAGTTCAGGAATCAAATGTATTTGGAGATGAAGTCATCAGCGCACAAACTTAAGGAAAATGTGTATTTGGAATGGAGTTTCTATCTCATGCAAATTTGAAAGTATATCAACATCATCCAGTAGTGTAGAGGGTTTAAAATTCAAAATAGATATCATCAAAAGAAATGAGGATTGATTGAACTAGAAACATTAATAGCTGCTGCAGGCTAAAAGTGAAACATTAACTTGGCTCCTAAAATGTTATAGTTCTCCAAGCATGAAAATATAAATGACCTTAAAATCTGAGAAAGAACTTACCCCCATCAGCAAAAGAGCCTCTGTTCGAGCCTCTTCTGTTTGTGGGACATGCATGTTCATCTCATCACCATCAAAATCAGCATTATATGGATTGCAAACAGACTCATTAAATCTCAATGTTCTCCAAGGCATAATTCTTGCCTGATAGAATAAAAAGAAAACTCAATCGAATAGCAGAAGAATGATATTTGATATAATTATAATATACTTTATCTAAAATTAACAATCACCCTATGGCACATGATAGACATTCGATGCAAGCTTGGTTGTCTGTTAAAAAGAACGACGTCTCCATCTTCTAAATGGCGATCAACTATGCAACCAATTTTTAGTTCCTCAGCAACACGTTTTCTGTAATTACCTATCAAAACCCTGTATAGCAAAATAATGAATTCCAGATAAAAAGAAGCATTTATCCAATCGAAAGCTATGGTAAGAATACGAACTTTTGAGAACCATCCGGATATCTAACCATCTTTGCACCTGGGTATTTGTTAGAGCCATTACGGACACACTGCCTCAACTTCTCAATATTGTGGTTCGAAACACGTTCAGGATAACTTAAAATCTTAGCCATATGGATGGGAACTGCCACCTATTAACCCATAGACTGTTATAGCACAAATAAACAAAAGGAATAAATAAACAAGCAGACAAGCCATTCATGGTGCAGTAGAACACCTAACCTCAGTAATTTTCAGATTAGGGTCTGGTGATATGACAGTCCTGCCAGTATATTCAACACGCTTTCCACATAAATTCCCACGAAACCGACCAGTCTTTCCTTTGAGGCGCTGAACAAAGCCACTCAATGGCTTTCCAACTTCAACATTATTTGGAACACGTACATCACTATTTACATAGAGTGCAACAGCAGCTTGAAGACCATCCCAAGAATCCTACACCAAAATCTTCAACATGAGCACAATGCAATAATACCCTGTGAAAGGAGTCTGGGAAAATAACATACTATACATTTGAGATGAACTTATCTTAACGCAGCATGAACATTGACATTAAGAAAAGAAACCACTAGCCAAATGTGAACAGAGTGGTTGAATCATTTAACACATATATTTACATGTATATAATAATTGGAATAGATGGTGAAATTAATTGCCAGGTCTAAGACTAGTTATGATCATATGAAAGTTTCAATTGTTGCTTTTTTTTTTATTCATTGGAGGTCGAATTGTCTGAATAACATTGTAGGTTATACAACAAGAGGTAATCCAACTCTCATCAAATTAGTGAAAGCTTCTATGATTGGGAAGACTCCAACCTAAGACCTCCCACTTCTCATATATTTATAAGAAGTGGGAAGACCAATCATTATCGGATATTGCTGTAGCTACTTACGATAAACAATAAAAATTCAAGTTTGCTCAGGAAATCAAAAGTAGAGAAGTTTGGCTCTGATTTTCACTAATGGAGACATTTGAAGTGAGAATACTTTTAGGCAATGGAGGTGGAAATCAAGTGGTAAAGTGAAAGGTCAGAAAGCAAAAAGAGCTCTTTAGTTATTCATGAATAGGGGTGTAAATGAGCTGAGTTGGGTTGCAAACTGTTCGAGCTCGGCTCGAAAAAGTTTAGCTCAAATCAAGCTCGAAAGCACGTCGAGCCTTATCGAGCTCTTATATATACATATATATGATTTTATTTTAGGTTACTCGAGCTTAAAATTTTTCGAGTTGAACTCGAGCATCAAGTCGAGCTCGAGTCAAACTTGAGCTTTCATCTAGCCGAGCTACATTCTATCGAGCACAGCTTTGAGCCTGGCAGGTTCGAGTTCGGCTCTGCTCATTTACACCCCTATTCATGAACTTACAAGATTAGCACATGTGCGCGCGCGCAAACACACACACACACACACACAAAGTACCAAAAAGCAAAGGGAAGTGATAATTACCGCTCAATAACATATGTGTCAATGTATTGACAGGTCAACAAAGTGAAAGAATCAACCTGATAGAGATCACTCATATGACCATTGGGTTATACTATCCATTATCTAACACCCAACAACTATTGAAACTTTAAAGTGTTTAAACACATTATCGAGATCCTCTATCATACCAGATATTTGTTTGCACTTCTCCTTCCTTCCAGCAACTCCATACGAAGGCTAGCATTAGCCTGGATAATTTGTTTTAACCTCTCTGTGATGTCATTTTCATTGCTGTAATAGAAACATATCAATCTGTAAACATCAAATATGATCATGCTCCCAAAAGAGCATAGCAACTAAAACAAATAGAGCAAAATATATATTGGAGAAACCTCTGTGTTTCACCCATTACAACAGAAGGTCGGATTGATAAAGGTGGCACAGCAATGTTTGTAATGATGAGTTTCTCAGGTCTATCACGCAGACCAAGCACTTCACAATCCTGTAATGCAAGAGAGTGGCATTATAAAGTGGAAAGAAGCATAAGCAAAGACAAGAGTTTATCAAATCAAATTGCCAGAAAAGCATACCTCCTCAGGAATTCTTTCAAAAAGAGAGAGAACTCTGGCAGGGTTGAGGATATATGTAGCTGGACTAATTGGTGCCCGAAACTCTTTTGTATGTGAAATTGCAGATTTACATTCTTCCAAATAGCCATCAATTAATTTTCCACGATCATGAATAATGCTTAGAGCAGACCCTGCCTTCTTGACCATACCTGAAAATCAAAATCTCAAACTAATCAACACCACGTTGCAAACCATAAACCTGTAAAACCCTCTAATACACACTACTATTATCCACTTCGAAAACAAGCTAGCAAATATTTCCCTTTCAAAGGTCATGAAATATTCTCTCTCGGATAGATGAAGTTTCCTTATGCAAGGATGAACAGGAAGTGTATTGCATCTTCAGCACTTCAAATCTGATGTCTTTGTTGCCAGAAACTTCCAGCAACCTGAACTAGTGGAAGCTTATCAAACATGTCCTAAATTTAAATCCCAGCGAAAATCATAGAAAACCTCTTCAAGCCTGTTTATTTGACAAAGAGCAAGTTCCTTTATCAACCACAACCTCCACAAATCCTAAAGCCTAAATTCCCCAAATCTAAACCATCACAAAACAACACCTAGGAACAGCAATGCTAGGATAAATGCCATAATGCATTTTGAATGGTTGAAAAGAATCAACAGCTGGAACATTAGGACTTAAATATATGTTGGAATATCCAATATAGATAGTAATTGCACAACCCATGACTGGAAACTACATCCATAACTTGAATAATTTAATTTCTCGGTTGAGCATTTGACATGTAACAACTGAAGCTCAGAAACTGAACGTGAGCAATCTTAGGATTTGGTTTCCAAGCATTCGACACTAATTACAACTACGCCAGCTTATTTACACAAACTCAAATGCATCTATGCATGTACGTACATTTGCATTCATATACACCTATCAATACAGAAACATGACCAGACCATCCTGCTACTGTATCCTAAATAACCTATATCCATGTCAACAGTCAAGAAAAAATGTAAAAGAGGGACAAGCTCGTTGTTGAAAAAAGCATGAAGTAATACAATCTTGACCAAGTTATGATTAAACATGATATGAATTTGGAAATTAAAAAAGAAAAAAGAAGGAAGAAGAAAGAAACTATCATAAAGAATCTCCAAGACATGCTATGGCCTTCTTCATGGATATGTTTGTAAAGAAGAACAAAGAGCAAGCTGCATCTATGTTAATGAAAAGTATCTCATCAATCAAGCATGAGAAGCAGAAGCAATACCATTCATATCTCCACATCTCATGCACCTCACTGCTTTATTGCTTGCCATTGCGCTACACTTTTTTACGATCTTCTTCACAAGATCAGTCCTCTTCAAATGCTCTAGATTACGGCTTCTCATTTTTTTCAAGTGCGCTTTACATTGTTTCTCATCAAAAAGTATGCGAGAACAAGACTGCAAAAAGTTCAAGGCACTAAGAACTAACATATTTGAGCAAGATAAGCAATGACAATACCTATTGGCTTAGCCATGAGCAACACAAACGTTTATATGCCATAATAAGGAAAAATGACTTCATTTAAGTTGAACAACCAGAAAATGAAAAAGGTACAGAAAAAAAAAATGCTCGGCATTGAAGTATTAGAAACAAATACATCTTTGAACATGGAATAATGGGGAAAGAGGACTATTCAGCAAAAGTCAGCAGGTAAAGATAATACCTGTTACTTACTACATCTGTGTTAACGCATCAATCTCAGAAATATGTAATTTTTAGAGAGACAGATGGAGAGTGTAGGCACAATGTATGAAAATGAAAAATTATGGAATTGATGGCTGGAAACTTTCAATTTATCTTAAATATAAGGTTATGAAATACGATTGATTGTTATGCAAGATGGAATGAAGTATTAGTACAATCAAGTATTGAAAATCTTCCATCAAATCTGACAAAATTTATTTAAGCACAGATCTGATAATTCACCACAATGCAAAAAGAACAAATCGCAAAAATAAAAACAATCATTGAATAAAAAAAATTACAAAAAGTTAAATGTTTTGCCATCAGACTTATAGCAAATAGGATAATATTTAAGCAATCTACTTACCTTACAAATGCACTTCAAAATGTCCAAAATATTGGTCATATACCCAACATTGAAAACTGGCAAGACAAGATTCAAGTATCCAAAATGCCCAGGACAGTCATTAAAATTTGCGCCACAAGTTTGACACATGGAATTTTTATTGGCAGGACCCTGAAACCCATCCACAAAAGAACATAATTTTCTTAGAATTCTTTCCTCTTAATGCTTATATTTACCACAATACGGTAGCTAATAGAGCATCAACAGAACCAAATTCATAAAAAAACCCAAAAGCACAAACAAAGGTAAGATGTGATGATATACCATGTGGGTGTCCAATAAACCTCCTTGAACAGGCTTTCTATTAGTGTCATAATATTGACCCAAATACACTTGACATTCTGCAGCTTTTACAATCTCATGTCCAGACATCAAGGAGAATTGTATACTTTTGCTGTATACAGATTAAATAGACACCCATTATAATCCAAATTAATCCAATAAAAAGCAATGCAATGCAATACAGAAGCATAGCAATAGAACATAATTAAAAGCACACAAAACATAACACGTAAATGAAATTTTTGTATCTTTAGATACAATAATAGATGAAAAGAAATATGACTAACATTTTTCGTGGGCCGACATCTTCGATGTAAGGATGCTTAGTGTAGACTATGTCTTGTTTTTTCGGCTGTGTCTTATGCATCTTTGATCAACACTGCTACTTCTGCAAAAAATCACACGCCAACCAAATCAAACCAAACCAATCAAAATAAATTGACATTAATGTATATAAGATAGAGAAAATTTATAGAAGAGATTAAATTAAACAAAAATATGTATAGAGATTCATAAAAGAAAATCAAGGTGCGTTTTTGTGAGTCTTTGGATAGTGAAGAGCAGAGGAGTTATTACAAAGAAAGTGCAGGCCTTCCTGGGATGACAAAAAAGATGGAGATGGAGGCGAAAAGGGTTTAAGGTTTTTCTGGTAACGGAAGTGAGGGCGGGAGGGTTTTGGGTTTGGAGATGGTGAAGTTGACAGAAGTGTCAGTTTGCAACTCCGTGGGAAAAAAGCGAAAAAATTCGAACCTAACCGAGGATCGAACTCGCACCTCGAGGAAGTGAAAGGAGTTTTCCACCACGACAAACTTATAGGGTTGACGTTGTTGCTTAATAAATTTAATATTAAGTTTGGAAAAACAAAATATCTTTTTTCCAGATAAAAAAAAAAACGATATGATCCAATCTACCATTGTTTACCTCCAAGCTGCCTAAGCTATTAGAGGTGATCAAACTTTAGAAAAAACAAAAACTTTCACTATAATTTCACTTTTCGATTTTTATATCAGTTATTATGAAGCACATATTTTTTAAGTAAAGCTAAACCGAACCAAACCAATAAGTATAGTTCGATTTTCAAAATTATTTCTATTTAAAAAAAATCTAGTTTTAATTTTTGCAATTCAGTTAAAATTCAACTGCGGATTTGTACACACTACAAGTGATAAGGTTGCACCAAATAATCATTTCATAGGACTTGACTCAAAATTATTGTGTGTATATGTAAATGACACATTTCATTCCTTAATTAACCAGAGGAGAAAACAAATATATTTGGATTAGTGCTAACATGTCCATAATGAACATGTGATGGGATTCCACCCATCCAAGATGTATTTGCTTCTTGTTTCTTCTATTAAATGAACAGCATATCAATTTAGATTTAAAGTATACAGTTTATGTATGGTGTCTTGCTCAACACTTATAATTTTAATCCAATAAATACCAGCTCTAATTTGTAAAAGTTTTATGGCATCATTAAAGAAAACTGTTAATGCATTTATAATTTGTTCAACAATTGAAAACAAAAAACGTAAAGTCAACCGAATGTGATTTAGTTAGTTTTTTCGCATTTTTTTAAAAACATAAAAAATGAAATAATTTTAAATTTAAATTCTCTGTAGTATAAAAGTTATCGTGAATTTGCTAAAAAATTATTTACTATAATAGAAAAAATTATTTACATTGGCCCCAATGTAACAAAAAGAGAACATAAAAGAAAGTTTTGATTATTTTATTAAATATCGCACATTATGTTACAAAAATTGTTCACTCTCCCACTCACTGTGGATAGTCAAATAGTTTTTCAACAATAATTTTCTTGAAATGGACAAACAATGACAAAAAGGACCAAATAAAATCGGGTTGCAAAAAACCAATCAGAAAACGAAAATCTTGAGCAATTCCTGGTTAGAATTATATTCTTGTTTGGCTGAAAAATATCAACACTTAGGAAGATCAACTGGTGGAGGAAGCAACTTTTGATTGGGAAGCTTTCCATCTAAGACAACCCAAGCCATCTTCAAACCCCAACTTGTATGCACTTCAAGATGACAATGCATGAACCAAACTCCTGTTAAACATCACAATTGATCATCAACATTAATTTAAAACAAGTGAGAATTACTTAAAAGTAGTTTCTTGAATAACACTAACCTGGATTATCTGCAAGAAACCTTATAGCAACCCATCCACCAGAGGGAACACCAACAGTGTTTCTTTCAACAGGATCAACGAGATTGAACTTTGCAGGGTCTTTATTAGGATCAAAATTCCCAAAACCCTGACCGACAACGAAGAAATTGAATCCATGCAAATGAAGAGGGTGACTCTCAGCACCAAGAATGCTAGTGTCTTGCAGAATTAGCTCCACACTAGTGTTAAAAGGAAGAACAACTAGCTTCGTTCCATTGCTCACCATTGTATTATTTGGAGGATTACCAGTATAATTAAATGGGATTAATGGACTAATCGGAAAATTTGGTTTATAAACACCTTTCGATTGACCAAAGAAATGTGATTGTAATAAAGCTGTGTTTGGCATTGTAAAAGATACATTATTAACTGAAGCAGCAAACATGGTTCCATTTGGTCCTTGGCAAGTTTGGTTATGTGGGCAAGGGTTAGTTCCTAGACCTACTGTGAAGAAAAATTGCCTGTCAACTTTCTGAGGCACATTGGCAGGGTATTTTTTACTTGCCAAGCTAAATAGTTTTTGAGTGAAATTAATGGCAAACGCAGTGTCGTTCAGAGGAGGCAAAACTGGTTTATATAATGGAAGCTTTTTAATGGAAGCTGTTTGTGATGGTTTATATTCTAAAATAGCTGCCACAGTTGAATTGTCAAAAGTGCCTAGGCCAGTCACATAAGGTCTAGCAGTCATGAAAAATTTGGCATTTGGGAAATTTGGTTTGGTCTTAAGAAGAACATTGGAGGTTTGTCCTGGAGCTATTAGCAATATCTCAGTTTCAAAAGGTTTAACATATACAGCATCAACATCAACTACTGTAAGTGTATGATTTGCTATGCTGAAGAAGAGTTCATCATTAAGCGCCGCATTTATCAGACGAAGCATGTAAGTTTTTCCGGGTTTCACCTTCAGTTTAAATGTGTCTGGAACAAAAATAACAATTAAGTCTTAATTTCAAACTAGTCCAACTATTTGATTTAGCCATTTTAGTCAGTTAGATATACCTTGGGCAGAGCAATTATATAACGGCCCTGGAAGGCCATTGATGGTATAGGCATCAGAGACATTTGGGCCTCCACCTGTTTGTAAGGCTTGGTTAATTATTGCTTCAGTATCAGCATTAAACCACTCTCCTGCAAAAGAAAGAAAATAGATTTATATTATTTTCTGCTCACTAAATACTAATCAATCAATGCGGATTTATCCGGCGCGAATCCGGATTAATTAGACTAATGGGTTTTGAATACCAAATAATTAAAATAAAAAAATATATTAATCAACCAGATAAAAATTGATTAATTATTACCAAAAATTATTGGGATTTCCTTGTAAGGCTTAGCAAAAGGGTAAGGAACACCAAGCTTTGGGAGAATGATAATAGGACCATAAAGAGTTGATCTTAACCAAGAAATATGGGCATGCCACCATAGGGTGCCTCTTTGGCCAATAATTGTATAATTATAAACATAACTTTGGCCAGTTTGAATAGGGCACTGTGTTATATATGCTGGTCCATCAGCCCACCCACTCCGAAGCTGTCTAATTCCATGCCTGTTTCAATGAAAACATAAGTTGCAATTTGATAAGGCTAATGATTGTTTACCTTAAATTTATCACCCTAATTACTTTTCAATTGATAAATTTCAGTAATTTCATGTATGAGTCTGAGTTTAAATCTCATATATTTTCATAATAAATAATACTTTTAAGTTAAGCGCACAAGATGCAGTCGCTTTAAAAAAATTTGAAGGTATTTCTAGAGGAAAAAAATTGAAAAAAAACTTCTAAACCGCGTCTATAGGCCCACTTATAAATCAAATCAATGGAATTAATGATTTTTGTTGAAACGATGATATTTCTGGACATACATTTAAAAAAAAAAAAAATAATCGAAATACTATTTAAAGGATCCTTAATTTTTTTGCTTTGTTCCATAAATAAGGTTATGGACCCTGTCTCCCCGCAGGTAATTTGCAAAAAAATGAAGGTAACTTCATCCTTACCAATGAAGGGATATATTATTTTGGACGTGATTCACAACTTTTATAAGAAGTTGGTCACCCTCTCTAGCTACAATGCGAGGCCCAGGAAACTTTCCATTCACAGTAACAATACTCTTGGTATGGCACAAGCGAGTCACATTTTGCAACTTGATCTACAAAAATACGTTTAAATTGCATAAACAACAAGCACTTAAAAATGAAAAATAGACAAAGAAAAAATGAAAATTGAACTTGCAAATAACTGAAAAAAAAAATACTAATTAATTAATTTGCCAATGCCAAAATTGGTGTGACACGTACATCAAACTTGTAGTGCCTGGTTATGGCAAGAGCAGGATCAATAAGGAGACAAAAAGTGATAACTGAGAAGAGAAAAATTCCAAGAAATGCTGGTTTTGGAAGAGCAAAAGCACCCATTTCTTTATCTTTGGTACCCCTTTTTTCCCTTTTCAGAAAAAAAGATTCAAGAAACTGTAGATAGTGCTATTGGGTGCTCCAAGAAACTAATTCTTGAATTGAGGAAATCTCGTAATGTTGTGTATTTATAGTAGTGACAGAACCAGGGTTTGGTTGATTGGATATTATAAAATGCCTGTAAATTAGTTACAAGATGTAGAGGAAACTATCTAGAAAAGAAAAGTAAAGCTTTTTCATGGATTTGGGTATTATATTTTTTTTTCAACTGAACCAGTTGTTGGAACAACTCAAGAGTGTAGTCAAAGACAATTTCTTTAATTTGACCAACTTTCTCTTCAAGTCAAACCTTTTTATTGTACTTATATATATATATATATATATATCCCTAAATCAAATAGACAAATATTCCATGCATTTTCTTTTTTATCATTTTTCTGGTAAAACGTAGGCTTGTATATATCTTACAACAGCTGAAGTACTCCATTGACCAAACTTTTTCCTCTGCATGCTTATGAAGTACGTAGGGACTGAATTTCTTTTTTTTCTTTTTTCTTTTTAATCACGCATATTTATATTAATCGTTTGTTACACCAAAGAAAAATCAAAAGCAATTCCTAATAAAACCCAAATGTTAATTAAGTTGGTAATGAGCTTGTTCCTTAATTTTCTAATCGATTAAGGTTCTAATTCTGAAATTATTAAATAATTTTGTTAAATTATTATAATTAAGCTACTCATTTTAACTAATTAGTTTAAAGCTTGGTGATAAAGCAAATTTATATGATATATTTAGGGGGTCTCCATCAAGAAGTCATTTTATAGTTAGATGTGTGATTTTACTATTTTCGTTTTGTTCCTCAAGTAATATATAGATAGGTCATGGTGGATAGTACGGGAACCTCAATTGACGCAATTTTCTCTTAAGCAAACATATATGGCTGAACAACAATTGACGCAATTTTCTCTTGAGAGCAAACATATACTATATATATATATCTATATATAGTATATATACTTATAATATATATATATATAGCCAATAAATAAAATAATATATATAGCCAATAAAAAATAGAAATATATATTAGCCCACTACAAATTTTGAAAGAAAAAGAGTGTTAAAATTATAATTGCTTATATCTCTTCGAAGCATTGTTAGGCAATGAAACGGAGGCCTCTCTTAAATGAATTTTCTCCATACACAATTTTTCGGATTAAATTTGTAATCACTTGCTTAAGGTGGTTGAGCTTTTCAGTTAGAACAACTTACATGCATCATGTGTTACTAAATTTTAGGCTGTGTTCGATAATAATTTTAAAATTTTTTTTTATTGTGTTCGATAACATAGTGTTTGAATTAGTTTTTAGAGATTCAAGTAGTAAGTACTTTATAAAAAGTAAATTCATGTAACGTTTAATTTTTAGTATTTTATGAAATGCTACTCAAACAATTAAATGCTACTAAAACAACTAAGAACTGTTAAAATAACTAATTTGCGGAATAAACCCTAGTAAAAGCAGAGGGATAAGTGAATTTTGGTAAGCCAAAAGCTACATGTCAAGTATAGTAGGTGATTACAGTACAGGGTGAGCCACCTGGCTGGGAAAATAGCTTGTTACCAGAAACCATTTTTTTATTTACAAAAATTGGATTAGACTTTGTTTATTTCCTTCTTAATGTGCAGAGTATGTAATTAATTATTGTGTATGATATTCTTGCAACAGAGACCAAAGTTGTTAAGAGCAAATGTAAAAACTTAAAATCTACCTACTATTTACCAAGAAAAAAAAAAAAAAAAAAAAAAACAAAAAAAAAAAAAAAAAAAAAAAAAACACAAATGAACGACTTGTCGTCCAAAAACGGTACCGTAATTTTTATTTTTTAAACGTTGCACCCGCAGCTCTTCCACAAATTTTACCACTCCTTGTTGCAATGATGCAGTTTTTTCTTAAAAAGGGAAAAATTTACTTACCTCTGCTGTATCAACTTGCATATATTTTAAATAAATTACAAACAGTATTTTATTTCGAATGTTTAATTTATAATCAAATGAAAAACATCTGATTATAAACGTTTTCCGCTCAAACATCAAAATAGAAAATTTTAGAAAATTTGGATATAAAAAAAGACAAATTAATCTATTTGATGTGAATAATATGTATTGTGTAGGATAAACTTCGGTGCAATTGGTTTATGTAGGTCTTACGGTCTTAGATATTGGTTTAAAGATTCTTTACCCTATTAATGAGAGTTATCCTTAATATAGCTACGAGTATAAGTAAAAGTTAAGTAATTGCACGTATACTCACACTGAAAAGAATAAATTCTTAATTAAGCTTAATTCCTACATTTCTCCCCAAATTCAATTTTGTGTGTGTGTGTATATATATATATAACACAAAATTGAATTTGGGGAGAAATGTAGGAATTAAGCTTAATTAAGAATTTATTCTTTTCAGTATGAGAAAGAAAAGAATGACTTTTATCAGGCTATAAATATTGTTGTTATTGCATATAACGTGAAGACTATCACTATCAGATACTTATTGGGCTCTCATCTTTTATGTTTATAAGCTCAAGAGAACAATGGGAATGGAGGGTTGTAGAGGTTTAATCTTCACTTGTTGCTTGTTTTTGCTTGCTTTACTAGCAGTAGGTGACAGTCTGCTGCAAGAAAAGAAGGTAATCAAATTTGATTTATCATCAATTGTTTTACCTTGGTTGTGCTCCTTTTCTTTTTTTTTAGTTTTTCCACGAATATCTTGAACTTTTTTTTGATATAACACTAATCTCGTTTGTCCTTTGGAGTTCATGACCGATCCTCTTTGTAATTATTTTTTTCGCAAATGGAATCCCCAACTAAATGGTTGTGGTCTTTAGCCTAGTGTATAAATTTGCTCTTGAAGTTTACGTAATTCATTTTGTAGCACCCTCAAGTTTGTGGGAGATCTATTATGACCTACACTTTCATATTATTGTAATAATTATGTCATTCGCTAAAATGAAATAATTTTATAAGGGTTCACTCATGACCTTGTACTTTTACATTTTATTTTGGAGAGAGACATATTTATTATTAATATGTGAAAGTGTGAAATTCCTGCAAATTTTAGGCCGTCACAAGGCAAATCGCATAAATTTCAGAGGCAAATATATGCATTTCGCCTGTGTTCTTCTTTGCCTTTTCTAATAATTTCTTTTTATTGGAGGCCCAATAAGTTTTAGTCTACATCCTAAAGATAGTCATTTTTTTTCATAAATGTTTTTTTTTTTTTTTTTTTTAAGAATAAATTTGGCATTATTAAATATTTGTTGAAAATGCAGGGAAATTGCAGCTATGCAATTACAATAGAAACAACATGTACTAAAGGTGCAGAAACATCAAATCACATTAGCTTGAGATTTGGTGACACAGAATCAAATGACATACTAGTTCATCACTTGAACAAGAAGCATCTAAGAAGTTTGGACCCTTTGCAACCACAGGTTCTTGATGATATGCCAAGAAAACCCTTCCAAGCTTGCATGGTTGATCAATTCCGAGTCACTGGACAATGTGTTGACTCCCCTATTTGCTACCTATATCTAAAATTGAGTGGAAAAGATGATTGGAGACCTGGTTTTGCCCAAATTAGGGTTTTAGAGGGTCCTCGCCTTAGCTCAGACTATTTTTATTTTCGTAGGTTCCTTCCTAGGCATGTTTGGCATGGTTTTGATGTTTGTGACAAGGAGGTCACCCCTTTTGGGATTAAACATAAGAGAAAGATCTTTGTAGGGAAGGAAGCAAACTAATTAGATAATTATGTCATGAAAAATGAAAATATTTTGTGGGTTGAATGCACATAAAAGATAAGACGTGTCTAAGTCTGATATTATAAAGTTATCTATACACCAAGCCAATCAATAATTACTATTCCATTATTTAAGAAAAATTATTAAAATTTATTACTGTTTTGTCATTTTTTTTCCCTAATGTCAGACGCCGATACTCTACTACTCTTCTATATACTAAATAGTTTCACTGAATTGACTTAGCATATAGATAAATCTGCACGTCAATGTTTACCATGTGTATATACTAATTAATTGTACGAGTGTTTGAATAGTTCTTGACTCATTACCCAAATTACCTTGCATTAAAACTGTGATTTTAGATCGATTTGGATTGGTTTAGGCGGTTTAAATGATTTCATCAATACCTCCATGTACATATAAGATTTTAGACACAAGTACAATGGAAATAAATACCTTACTTTCAACTAACTACAAAATGGTCCCATAACAGAACCAACGTTTACTTTGGGAGACAGAAAGGCATATGGTATTGATGACTCAATAGAAATCCGTGTGGGTTTTGGTTTTGTGCTCTAAAAAGCCTTAGGCAACAATTTATAGCAAGTAAATGATGATAAATTCGATTCGTTCCATCACAATTAATTTCTGGAGTCATCTTTTTCAGGTGATATTAAGAAACTTTATTTCACATATGTTTATTTTTTTATGATCACATCTTTCATACTAATAAGAACTGTAGATCTTTTGAAATAATTTCTAAATTTACCTCTTCTCTATTTCACATTCTCTATCATCAATATTATATCTTACTTGCGAATTAGAGCACATGGACTTACAAAAGATTATGAGGTGATTCCTTTTAAAAGTAATATTTTTTTTATATTTCAAAATACTCCTCTAAACTAACCATCGGAAGATTTTCTTTTTTAAAATTCACCATTCTTTTTGTTGAATGGAAAGACTTACCTATCCTCGCATGGACCTACTTATATACTAAATAAATCACAAATAATGTTTTGGTTCAAACGAGTTACCTACAATGATGTATGAGTTCCACTTATTATATGTTATATCATCCACAAATAATATTTTGGTTCAAACGATAGTATTTTTACCGTATACTAAAAAAAAATAAAGTAAATTAAAAAAAAATCTTTTTTTATTGGTTGATTGTATAAGACCACCTGTGGAGACATGTATTTTCCTTTGTTAAATACCATTTTTAAATGCTATATAGATAGCTAATTTTGAGAGAGATTTTACTTTTGGTGAACACAAATTTATTTCTTCTTCTATAATTAGTTCACATGTTATAAACTTTTTCTTCGAACAAATTTACGGTGGGTGAGATAGAATGCAAAGATTTCTTCTCCTGTAATCAGAGATCTTGAGTTCGAGTTTTAGGTATGAAGTTTTTTTAAACATTTGGGAGAGAGTTTTTTGCCTCTTTTATGAGTCTGTCCGGTACGAATCCGGATTAATCAGACAAGTAAATTTTGGACACCATATGGTTAAAAGAAATAAATTCCTCCCCACAACATAATAAAATAATAAATACTATAATGAAATTCACATTTGGACATTAGACATGAAAGAATCCGTTTGATTCTTTTTTTTTGGGGGGGGGCATGGGCACCTTTGTCCGCACATATCAAAGGGCAGTGAAAGAGGTGGGCCCACAGTAATCACAAATCAGTGGTGATGGTATGGTGTGGCACAGTAATAGGATCTTAGCATAGCATAAACAATGTCATTGGCTATGGGCTACAAATATCAGAATCGTACGGACAACATTACCCTTCGAGTTGTCAGCGGTCAAGTCCTTTGTTTTTGTTTTCCTTTTGATTTATAGTTTTAAATTTCAAAATAAAATGACATGACATTGGTCAAGTCAGATCCACCAACAGTGTTTAGCGTGCACCAATCTCCATTTCCCAACTGTATACGTTAGTTACTTAGTGCTTCACAAATAAGTGCCACGTCTGCGTTCGCATAAAAAACTATTTAATTTATAATAAATTATTAAATAAATTAATTATATTATCTTTATTTATAAAAGATAGAAATTTTTGAAAGTATAAGAATTAAAGATTGTCGTTTGCGAACCTTAAAATGAAAAAAAATATATATTATTTCTAAAATCTGACACTTATTTGTAGATACAATATTTTTTTTTAAATACGAAACTATTGAGAGTAATTTTTTTTTTCTTTCATTATGTAAAAAAAAAAAAATTTAAACATAATTTAGTTTGTATTTTTTACTTTTGCAAAGATCTAATTTTCAGTTACATGATTTTTCACTGATTTAATCAAAATTATTACCTTATTGCTATATTGTGTAATATTATTTTGACTCGTGATATTTTTTTTAAATCAAATGATAATGATAAAAAAAAATTGTAGAAGCTAAATGTGGCTTAATAAAATATAAAATGGTGTTCAAATTAAAGCTAATTGGATGTAATTTTGTGGGTAATATATCCAACAATTGGGATTGACTTATCTATATCGACTTCACGTCCCTATCCATAACCAAATTAGTGAAAATAAGAATTTCTATTAAAAATGATGATATCTTTAATCATATATTGAAAAGAAATATATGAATGATTTTTTTAAAGTTTTTATTTTCATTAGTTTGATCCATGACCGTAGGTGAGGTCATGGACCTTGTTTAAACGAGAATAATCCCTAACAATTCCTAATAAATTTATTGACATGATAATAAATATCAATTAAGTACAGTATATGAGCTTAATTATTAATTTATTATTTGCCCATAACACAAATAAATCAAATTTATAGTAATGTCTTTCCTTCTTGGCTAAATACAACTAATAATTAAAATTTAATTGTAATTTTAATATAAAATTACGAGAGAGGGAGGAGACTGATAAGTTAAAACAAAATTTCAAATGAATCGATGAATTAAAGCGAACTGTATCTTTAATAATTGAATTTTTAAAACTCATTTTTGACGTGATAACTCCCCTTAATTAGTAGTAAGTGGCACACCGATTTATAAAGATTTAGTTTAGTATTTTTTTTATTAATCATACTAAAATTTAACTGTCAACACAAAACCATCGTGAGCTACTCATCTCAATTTTTATTGATTCGAAAAAAGAAAACAGAAAAAAAAAAAAAAAAGAAATACCCAGAAAGGTTGGATATCCGATCAAAATGCAAGTACACACAGACAATTGAGGCATGACGGGAGCATATAAAATTGCCATAAATAAATAAATTGAAGAGCCTATCAACTTTGATTAAACACTTGCTGTGTGCCTTTTGTACTGAAATCAAATTAATGTGACTACACACTTATTTTGAAGTTATTGTTCTTCAAGAATCAATCCTCTTCCTTCCATTTTACTGCTTTTTAACTAAAAAGAAAGGATTTCTCGATTCTCTCCCCGACTAACTAAATTACTGTAATGGCCTTCTATTCTCTCTCTCTCTCATATAAGTCTCTTCACTATATGTATGGTTTTTTTGCCATGGTATATCCGGAATCAAAATAAAATAAAATAAATCTTTTTTTTTTTGTTTTAAAATAAAATAAGCCCATAATATATATATTATTGCATAATTATACAAAAATACACAAAATAAAACAAGTACACAACTTAATTACTTCGCACGCGCATGAAGTGGTTCGAGCACATGGGCAGGCTAATCATCTATTCATCTCCCTGTTTTCCCCAAAGGTGTCTCTGATAAATCAGAGAAAAGATGCATGCATTTGAATGCCTTCAACTCTTCTTTATTTAATTTAGACTTTCTTTTTGGGGGGATTACAATTTGAATATTAATGAGATCTTATTTAATGGACGGCTGAGATATGAAAGCGATATTAGAGGGGGAACTCCCAACATGTACTAATTTGCAATCTTACAAACCTAATTATAAACAACTTAATTGGGAAATTTTCTATTTTGCTTTCTCATATTCAGAAAGATCACACCTAGTCTACTTCTATCCCGTTTCATAGGTAGGGTGTTCATGAGTTGTGTTGAGACGAGAATTATATAATTTTCAGTTCCGTCTCAAAATATCAAAACATAAAAAATAGAATGCAATTCCATCTCAATAGATATTTAAGTCTCCTATTGTCTATCGTGTTTTTTGAATGAAACATGATAAAAATCTGCATATAAAAATAGAACGGAATGAGTCCAATTGGAAATCAATATAAATTTATCATCTTTTTATTAAATTAATAGCTTAATGGAAACCACGCTGGACAAACTTTAGGTGGTCCTGTATCCAATTTTTTGGAGCGTCCAAACAGTTTATTAATCCATGTTTGGACTTAAGCCCACCAATGCTTATGGATCATAATCCCATATGCATTGGAGATTTCCTCAATCCATATAGAGGAAACATTTGCATGGACCCGAGGTAGAGAGCATGAACTACTTTATCCGCTAGTCAGTCTTAAAGACTGGACACAACCTTAATATAAAAAAAAATGATAAATTGTTATCTTAATCCATTGTAATCAAATAAAATTCATTAATCAAAACTTGAGTAAAAGAAAAAGAAACTAAAACCAAATAATTTCAATCATTAATTCATTTCTAAACTCATAATTAATAGAAAAAGATGTTAATAGTTACTTGATGGTCCTTCAAGACTCAACAATGAGTCAGAAATCCCCGATTTGGATAGGACAAAACTTTTGATTGATATAGATTGATTTTAACTAACAAAAAGTTTTCATTCCAAAATTATATTCGCAAGATTCAAATTATAACTATTGAGATTATATCATTTTTTATTGATAAATTTGAGTCAATTTTTAAGCGGATCAAAATTTTTCACAGTTCCGTACACTCTTAATATAAGAACTCAATAATTCCTCTCCCATGCACTTAGGGGCAGAGCTCCATTGGGCCCAAGGGGGGCCATGGCCCCCAAAAAAATTAAAAAAAAATTTCTTATAAAAATTACATTTTAATCTTTTAAAATATAGAAAAATTACATTTAATCCCTCTAAAAGTTTAAAAAAATTTCATTTTGTTCTCCCAAACTAATTGTCCGACCTCCGCCCCTCAATGCACTGTTCCACTTGTTGCATGCAATTATGGGTTTTGTAAGTCTTACATATCACAGCATATGTACGTTTTGTACAGCAAATTAATTAATATTGAGAGGCCGACCACTACCTGTGGAATTCCAAACCCTAACTCTATACGCTTCAGGACTATATAATAACGTCGCATATAAATATTGGTCGAACAGTTTAAGGAGTGCAATAAAACTGATCGTGCAAAAGCAAAATGATACGACATACAGTTTTGGAAGCCCTAAGTGGGAATAGGAAACAAGATCACAAATCAATTGTCAATGATTTATTAATTTGTGTGTACGTGTACGATCCCAAGAGAATTGTGAATTTTATGATAGATTTTCTAAATTAAATAAAATTAATTGAAGAATAAATTATGGCAATATAAATAATTGAAAATCTAACTGTTTCTATCATGCTTCTTGAATTGACTTGATAAACACTGCTCCCTCTATTCCAAAATATAACTCATTTTTGAGTGATTATTTTATTCCAAAATATAAATCATTTGGAGTATTTTAAGGAGTAATAAATGATATTTTTCCAATGTTACCCTTATTTAGATTAATTACAATAAATACTTTCATAAATAACTATTGGTTTTGAGATAAAGAATAATTTGTTTGATCAAATCACCCTTGAGTTTGTTATAATATATATATGAGAATTAATTGCTTCTTTAATCTTTATACAACAACTTTAAACGACTTATATTTTAGAACAGAAAGAGTATTTGACTATATATATGTGTATATGTATATGTATATAAGTATGTATATAAGTTTGTTTTAATTCAAAACAATTATCCACGCAAACAAACTAGTGAATTTTCAAGGTAAACCAATATAGAGGCTTAATGTATAAATTTGTCATTAAATTATTGCAGATTATCATAGTGGCCTTTTGAATTTTGCGGGAATTCTATCATATGACTCTGGACTTTCAATTCCTTCGATAACACGTAGGAAATGAAGAGCATACATTCAGTCTCGTTTGGAAACTGATTTTTTTTGCCAAGTGAGTTCCAACATGGTATAATCAACGGTTATGATTGTCAAACATTTTACGAAGCTTTTTTCTCTGCCAATTTCTCTCTCCAAAATCAATCTCATAAACAACACTCATCTCTCTCCCTTTTTTATTTGATTTTGGTTCTTCAACTAGAATCAATTTGAAAAGTTCTAAGATATGAGAAAGAATAAAGAAGTTTGGGCTGCTGTTTGAAGTTAGGTAGGTTTGTGTGAAAGCAATTTGAAGCCATGGTTTGTGTGAAATATTCTCTTTCCTCTTAGTCTATTTATGATATTAAAGAGTTTATTATATTAGATCCCATTCATGGCCTTGATGCTTCTCTTTCTCTCTCTTTCTTTATATATTTTTCATCGCATATTCATTTGGGTTTTGGCATTCTTTGATTTTATATTTTCTACTTGAATCTTGTTTTGAGTCATTACCCTTTTATTATTTTTTTGTTTGATTGTTTTTTGTTTTTGCTTTAGAATTTATTTATCTAGATATCTCATATTTTTTGATGGCTTAGATTTTTTTCGGCCTTTTGCGTTATGCTATCAAAAATTATTTTGAGGTGTTTTTTAGTCAAAGTTACAGCGAGAAAACCGTAGAGTGGTTCGAAGTAATTTTTTTTTTATAACTGAAAAATATATAAATTTATAATTAATATGTTGTATTTTATAAGTTGAAATATTTAACGGGTGTAGTTTTATTTAAAATAAAAAAAAGATAAATTAAATAATAAGGTGATGATGACATAATCATTCAAGTGTAAAAAGTACCTCTCCACTACTATTCCCCCTTACTCACTCAGTTTCACCTCATTCGCTCTCCCAATGAATCCTTCACTCTATACACAATACAGACTCTCTCTCTCTCTCTCTCTCTCTCTCTCTGCATGGCCTGAAATCTACACTTGAATGCCCCTCTCAGGGAAACATCAGCATGACAACCCTGCAATTCCACTTTTCCTTTCTTTCTTTTGTCTATAATTAATCATTTTAACTTTTATTTTCTTTTCCTCTCTCTGTATATCTCTATCCCTTTTGTCCCTCTTTCTCTCTTTATATACATACATAAATACAAACTTGAGCATTTTGTCCCAATTCCATTACTGCTGTGAGTAAAAATATTTTCTTTATATTAAATTTTCAGTGTACTGTTTTTTTTTTTTCTCTCTCTGTATGTCCATATCCTCTCTATTTATAACGAAGGAGAGTTTCTCTTTGTGCATATAATATAAACTTATTTCAATAAAATGTCTCCTTCTTCTACTACTTCTTCTTCCTCTAGATGGTGTCCAACACCAGAGCAACTAATGATATTGGAAGAGTTATATAGAAATGGAATTAGAACTCCAAATGCTTCTCAAATTCAAAGAATCACAGCCCATCTTTCTTTATATGGAAAGATTGAAGGAAAGAATGTGTTCTATTGGTTTCAAAATCATAAAGCTAGAGATAGACAAAAACTTAGAAGAAAACTCATTAAGCAACTTCAACAACCGCAACAACAACTCTTTTATCCTTATCATGATCATCAACTACACCAGAATATGTCGAACTACCACCACCACCACCACCACCACCTTCTTGGCAGCTTCTTTGATTCTCCTCCTCCAACTGCTACTGCTTCTTCTTCAGCTTTTCTTTCATATCATGACACTGCTGGCTTTCTTCCTCAGGTTAGATATATGTATTATTGTCAAATGTGATTGTTTTTGTCTTTCTTTTTGTTTCTAAAATTTATATATGAAAAAAAAAAATTAAATAAAAAGAACCATGAAATATTAGGGACATGTACAAATAAAAAGTAGGGCTTATTTTATTTTGTCATTTATGATATGCCATATATAAAAAATAGTTATTTATCAAGAATTTTATAGAAGTAGATAACTTTTTTTTTGGATCAATTAGGTTTTGACTGACGTTTAAATTGAAGTTTATTGGTGAAATAAGATTAATTAATTCTTAGTGCATATCTGTAAAATCTTGTTTTTTGCTTTGTTGATTTCGAATAATAGTAATAAATTCAAGAAATATCTAAATAAAGCTACATTTGTGTGTGATATTAGGGAGGACTTGAAATGATGAATCACCCATGGAAGGTGGAGATCCCACAGAATATCCAGATGGAGAATTCCATGATGAGAATTTATGGTCAAGATTGGATGATGATGATGGAAGGAGGTCCTCCCTCCCCAACAAGACCTCTTGAAACACTTGAACTTTTCCCAATCACAACAACAAATCTCAAAGAAGAGAGCACCGGAACGTTATCAGCATCCAATAACTCATCAGAGATTATCACTTTCTCCCTCTAGCTAGGTTCTCGATTAAAATAACTATAAATGTACTTTTTTTTAAAATTTGTTTTTCTTGGTTTCTGTTATGTGGTATATGCATCTGAGTAGGTAGCTAGATAGATAGGGAGTAGAGGGAGAAAGATCTCAATTGTCTAGTGAGTATTGTAGCTTGTCATTACTGATCTCTAATGTCTTCTTCTAACAGTACGGCTATGCTACCTTATTTTTTATTATTATTGCATTTGGTACTATTTATTTTTCCAAATTACAATCTGCATTGGGCTTCGAAAGAATGTGTTGTTTCATATTCATTTTCAAATTTTCAGCTTGTCTCTATGTAAACCTGAAGCTGCTTACCCCTATAAGTGGGACACTAGTACTTAGGACTATCAGCCTTTTCTTTTGGTCTTGGACCTTTCAGATAAGTCAATGCAACTTTAATATATATATATATATGTGTGTGTGATTTCGCTGGTTTTTTTCGTTAATGTGAGAAATTTATATGAAGAGTAAGGGATTTTGAATTCAAGTATTCTTAATATTCTTAATTATATTTGACCATAAACATTTTCAATAAGTTGGTGAGCCGATTTATAAACAATTTTTTTTAAAAAAATTTAATGTTTTATTTTTTTAGTGAATAGTAAAAAATACTTTACTACAACCAAAATTTTATTTTTAATTATTTTGTTGTATGGGTGAGTCCATACCCCCGAAGAGTATAATTCATCCAACTAACCAATAAAATTTAGAAATATTTTATATCAATGTTATTAAAAATACAATTATAACTGCCCACATCAATGTTATTAATTATGGTAGTGTATGAGACAACAATGCTTTGGTTTTGTTTTAAATATATGTTAATGCCAAATAATTTAACAAATGATACTCAGAATTATTTGTAAATCAAACAATGGACACAACTTTAAAATCACGTTAAGTTATAATTTTTTTATTCATTAATAGTGAAAAGAGCTGAGATAATATTACGGGCTACACAGTAAAAATAAGATTGTTTTAAAATAACATTTACCAAATTAGTATTAATTTTTATAGTGAAAAGAACTCGGACTCGAGACCTTCCGATTCTCACATCCTCTAACTTTTAAGCTTAAATTTTTAATTTTAGATGATAATTAATTATACTCTTCTGAATTGGTCAAAGGGGAGGAGAAAAATAAATACATAAGATACTATTGTGAAATCAGACTTTGAATTAGTATCAAAATGGAAATTCCCTCAACTGCCTATAAAAACATCTTCACAGAAGGGCATAAAGGCAGTGGCCTAAGCTCAATATGGTTTCCAAATTGCAACAAAGCGCATACATGTTACATTTTATGGAATATTCCAATCTATTAGTTCTATAATTTGTAAAATACACAAAAAGAGAGAATAAGGAAAAATATTGATGGGATCTAAAAAGGAGAAATCTGTATTAGATTTGCACTTTCTATAGAGATTAGAAGGGGACAATACTCCAAGAAGTGCCAATGAAACCATACTTTGCAATGTTAATTATGCTTACAGCTCCAACTTTAAAATCACAATGGAGTTCTATTCTAGCTTATTATATATATATATATATATATATACATAAATATTGCAATTTGGGAAAATTTCTATCTAGTTCTTGCTTATATGAATCTGTAACAAATTTTTTTTTCTTGGAAAATGGACATATATGCCTCAATTAACCCCAAGAAATTTCTAATAACACAAAAATTTGCACTATGGAATTGCTACTTAAAAAAAATTAAAAAAAAAAAAAAAAAAGAAGAAATAATTAATTTAACTTCAATGATCAAATCTTCTATTAACTAAATTAAATCATATCAATCAATTAAATTCCTTCAAAAGCTAATTAAAACTCACCTACTCGTGTTGATGGATGTTTAGTTGCCATATCAGACAGTACCTTTTTCCAATTAGGTCTCGCAAAATGTGTTTTTATCTGTATTCAGATAATATATGTTAAAAATAATTCATAAGAATGAAATTCCATAAAATTCTATATTCTATACTAGTCATATGAAAAAGAAAATGCTTACTTCATTTTGATTTGATATGGTTATTAACCAACTTGAAATTGAGGACTTTATGATTTCAAATCAAATCAGAACTGGTCCAACCAGTTCAATCTTATATGAAATTCAATTTAACTATAGTAAATTATATTATTATAAATGAATTTTGTACTTCAAATATGCCAAATCCAATTAAAATTGTAATGTGGTCAATACCCGGCTCTGAGATACGATATCGATTCCATTCTTTGCATGTTGTAATTGTTGCACCATAGCAATAAGTGCAGACCTTGCATCTCCTTGTTCATATACACTTGTTAAGTAGTTGTGCATTTCTATAATATTCTGTTAAAAAAAACCAATAAAAATTACAGGTTAGTTTGAATAATATTGAAAAGGTTCATAGGAAGAAACCCACGTACGTTTCGATCAGAATCTGCAATATCATCCATGACACCCTTGAACCATTCAAATGAGCTTTGTTCTCTTGTTACCCAGTAAAAGTAGGCTCTTTCAGGGCATTTTTTAGTTGAATCCAATGTTTTATTCTGTGTAAAAAGATCAAGATCAGTTAATTTAATATCAAATTGAAGCAGTATTCTCATAGGATGTAAGTAACTTTTGTTAATTAATTAATCTTCCACTTACTGGATCAAGCACATTTCTCTTTATGTGGTAAAGAAGATCCTTTACAATGCTTATAAATGGAGTTGCTCCAATTCCTAGACCTATAAGCAAGAGAATGTCATACTTGCTGTAATTTTGAGCTGGTGCTCCATATGGTCCTTTGATGAGTATCTTTGGGAATCTGCCAAGAAAAAGTAATTAGGTTCAATGGAATTTCTTGCCATGGTGGAAGAGTTTTAATAAAATGGAAGCTCTCTTATTGATTTGTACCCATATTTCCTTCAACTTGGTTAGGAAATATAAGAAGGGATTTGCTGATTTTTTTTGGCTAAGAAGGATGTTACTGCAACACTGGACTTTTTAGGTTGGTTATAGTTTTTTTTTTTTTCCTTTTTTTTGATTGTAGGTGAATTTTTGGGATGATTCGCATCTCTTCTTTCTTATCTGAAGAGAATGAGAGATGTTCTTGATGTATTGTATTGTTTGGCTAGGTTTTTTTTCCAGGCTAGTTGTGTGTATATTGATAAAGCCCACGTAAATTTCTGAAAATGTTAAAACTTTCCCGAATTCTTCAATTCTAATAAAAAAAATTGTTTCTAATCAGAAAAATTTTCTTGTCATGGTTAGTAATGCTTATATAGGTTAGCACGCCTTTATAAAATTGCATGATTTCGTGAAAGAGTGTATCATGTCCGTAATCTATGTGTGCATTGTGTATTTCCTATTTAACCAATCATAAAAAAAATGAGAAGCTTAAATAAATTTCCGGCCTTATATATCACCGGAGATGATAATCCATTCTGCGAAAGTAGACCTTAATTGTTTGAAAGGTAAGATTTTACTTACGTTTTTTGTATATCATTATAGTTTGAATTCGACAATGTTCTAGTTTCCATTCTCATTAGGTTTCCTCTTTTTGGCGCTTGAGGTTGGGGCTCACAAAGCTGCATAACATCAATATTATAATTAGATTTAATAGCATTAACTTAACATTCAATACTTGAATATAAAAATTAATTATTCAGAGTAAGTGTATATTTAAACAACATGCTAATATTATTGCAAATTATTTTGTTAACCAGGGAAAATAATTTTTTTTTAAAAAAAAAAAAAAGTGTAATTACCTTAGCAAATATGTTTTTAAGCTCTGTAGTCCAATCTCCCAAAGTCCTAATATGGACACTCAAGAATTCATCTCCTGGTGCAGAAGTGATAGAGAAGGGATGCCTGTAATAATAGATGATAATTAGATTAATTAATTCTTTACAAAATAATTAATTATTTGATCATTAATTACTAATTAGAGGGAATTAATTAAATTACCATTCAAAACTTGATATATCTGGACACTTGACAAAAAGATACATTCCACTTTTGTACTTGAATCCTTGAGGTTTAGTGATGTATAGGGCTAGAACATTTCCTGTATATATTACTCCCTGCAAATTACAACAATAAAAATTATTTATGGCTGAAGTATTATCATGGATATTAATTGTTAATCATCATTAATTGGTAACGCATAACCTTAATCACATCCACTCGATGATTACGTTCTTGATATCTTGAAAATATTCTTTCAGTAGCATAAAACAGCATTGGACCAGCAACGTACATCCATGTCTGCAATAAAAAGAAAAGAAAATAGGGTTTGGCTACTATAAGCGTCATCTTATATAAGAACGAGTTTATCAGCCATTGGATTTTCAAATTCAATTGGCTGATAAGCTCGTCCTTATATTAGGTTAAGCTTATAGTACCTTTGCCCAAGAAAATATGACAGTAAGAGTCTATTTGGTATTAAGATTTGAAACTTTTTCTTTTTTTTCGAAAAGCTTAATTAAGAAAACGTACCGTCTTGCCATACCAAGGTTTTGGAAAAATGAGGAAGTAGCCATGTGCAATAAGGAGGATATAAGCGAGTATCAGCAAATGATGTGCATACCAGAAGGAATTGAATCCGGCCAAACGATGAAAAACTCCGGGTAACTTAACGACATTCCTTCTAAAAGAATGGGTTGCTAATGTGAAGGAAAATCCCATTATAAGAGTTATAAGGATACCAGTAATGCCTACTGTAGTAACCATCAAAGATCCATAGGTGGGTTGTTGATAATTCAATGCAGGTCCAAGAAGGAGCATGAATTTTGGTTTAGGACAAGAAGCCAATAATGGGAAATTACAAATCAAATGTGCAAGAACATGAACAGCAGTTCCAATTGCAATTCCAAGTGCAATTATCTGATGAAAACTGATGTTGTCATCGAATGGAATTATCTTGCTAAGACATGTTGATCGAAGCTTAGTAAGTGTTCTTCTACAAACAGGTAATAGAATAAGTGCCATATTGAACTTTAGGGTTTCTCCTGCAGCCTTCGCTAAACAAACACAATAACCGGTAATTTGAAATACCGGTGCGTGTTGTAACTCTTCAAATTTCCATGCCACAAGATAAAGGTTTATGGCTAACCACAGACCAATAAACCAAACCTTCATCCAATTCTCATGCATAAATTCTAAAGTTAAAGAACAAAATTTACTAACTGGGGTTCTGTATCTTTTTGGGATCATTGCTTTTGTTAGAGAACTTGTTGTTTTTTGCATCTTAACATCTAGATTGTCATCATTGTTCACCATTCCTCTTAGGAGAATTTCTAGCTGCCATATCTGTTTCATCAAAATACATAAATAAAAGTTAATAATTTTATAATTTTTATATATCATGAATGGGATTTATATTTGCATATTAACCTCTATATATCCAAGATGATCCGGGTCCAGTTCTTCCATGATTAAAGATGCATATGCAGCTGCTCGTTGTTTGAGATTTGTCAGCTTGTTTGCAGAGGCGCTCAACAATATAACCTTTTCCAATGACACAAATAAGAAACTTGAAAAACTTTTCATGACAAAGAAAAATAAATAATATATATATAACTTTATATTCTCACCTCTTTCACCTCGTCTTCTGATAGCTTTCCATCGCCATTCTTGTCACACCTGAAAAATTATTATATATATGTATGTATTTTAACACAAATGTTAAATTAAAATCTAAATATATATAGCAAATTAGGGTTTCTTAATTACATGTCAAAGAATATTTGTAATCTTGCATCAAGATCCTGTCTGGTCATTTCTTCCCAAAACATTTTCAATTCATCTTTTGTTATCCCTTCTCTTGTGTCTATATGTTTTCTCCTGGCCATTGCATCAAAAACTTCTCCTGCAAATTCCTTTGAATCTCCCAATCCTACATATAAATATAAGAAATATTTATAAATATCAATATTTTTTTGACCAATATCATTGAAAATTGAAATTTTCAGGAAGAGAAATAATTAAATTACCAATGCAGATTCCAAATTTTTCCTTTGAGAGCCTATCATTAGTGGCAAATTGATTGAAACGATTTTCAATAGACCTCCATGCATCCATTTCTTTTCCTGTTACTGTTCTATCAAGAAACCTAAGGCTTTTAAGCCCTCTGGCGGCGGAGGAAGCTGTTCTTTCAATTTTCTGCTGCTTCCGGCGAGCAGGAGTGTTAGACATAACCCCACTTTTCTTTAAAGCATTACTTGTGGTTCTCATTATAGATTCTCCAAAAGAACTTGTAGTCCTTCTAAGGGATGCACCAATATTACTTGAACCTGCTCTAAAATTATTGCTCGTCATCTTTCCAAGATTACCTGAATATTTGCCCTGCTTATTATTTTTATTAGAGTTTTTAGGTTCTTGATCATGAATTGGAATATCCATCATTCTATCGATTTCGACCCTATCAAGCATCCAGTTTGATGATTGATCTCCTCCTGCAGCTCCTTTACCTCCTTTGTTGTTCATTGCAACACTTTGAAGAATTTTCCTCTCTTCACTTTCCCAAGAAAATAATTGTAGGGTAATGGTGAAGAGAGAAAAGAAAGAGAGGTGATGGTTGGTATTTGCTAAAGAGAAACACTAATTTTTGTTTAAATATGGCAATGGTTAAATTGGCTTTGTAGGAGGGAAAAAAAATGTGTGAATGTAAGTGTTAGTTTTGTTAGTTTTCTAAAATTAGGAAAACAATTAAAATTAGGGCATCTCAATTATCCAATCAAATTTTCTTTTATATCAAAAATTTTTTAAAGCAAACAAACTATCACAATTTTAACTATTGATTTCCTATTATTATATATAAAATAAACTCTCCTTAGTTGGATTAATAATTTAATGAATTCCTTTCAAATAAAAAATAATTTAATGAATTAATTAGAGTATGAATTAATTAGGGCATATGCATAATTTTTTTTTTTTTTTTTTTACTTACCCTACGCCTATAGGTGCATATATATGTCTTTTTTTATGAATATTTGGGGAGATTTTCTTTCCAACCATTTAAAGAAAAAGTTGTTCTTGGGCTTTCCTTTATCAGGTAAGGATTTCTCATCCCTTTTTCCATCTTCAAGATTAATCTTTTTTTTTTCTAAATTTATTTGTAATCTTCTTCTCTAAATGTTACAATTCTTGATATTTTTTTTTTAAATCTTCTTCTTCGATTCTTTGAATTATTATAATTTTAAATTTTAATTTATTGGCTAATATGGTTTATTAATTGCATTTTAATTATTTTTTGTTTTAGTTGAACTATTATTTGTAGATTGAAACTTTTAAGAGCACCTTGATCCAATACGAGTAGAGTAGAACAAAGAAGCAAGGACATTCTTCTTCTTTTTCTTCTTTTTTTTTTTTTTTTTTTTTTTTTTTTTTTTTTTCATTTATCAAGTTAAGGATTTTCTCATCCTTTTTACCCATCTTCAAGATTATAATCTTTTTTTTTTCTAAAAAAATTTTTTTTTTAAAATTTTTTTTTGGTAATGGCTTCTTCTCTAAATGTTAACAATTCTTGATATTTTTTTATAATTAAATCTTCTTCTTACCGATCTCTTGAATTATTATACATTTTAAATTTTTAATTAATTGGCTAAATAGGTTAGATTATTGCATTTTAATTATTTTATGTTTAGTTGAACTATTTATTTGTAGATTGGGAAACTTAATTATAAGAGCACCTTGATCCAATAGCGAGTAGAGTAGAACCAAAGAAGCAAGGACCATTCTTCTTCTTATTTCTCTTTTTTTTTTTTTTTTTTTTTTTTTTTTTTTTTTTTGCATATGCCTATATATGGGAGTTCTTCATGTATTTACAAACACAATGAGTCTTTTATTTATTGGGATCTCATTTGACCAATAATTTAAATTTTGTAAGGAAATTAATTACCAAAATTTGAGCTTTTATATGTTAAATCAGGTTTCGGTGGAAGCTAGATATTTTTAATCTTTATTTTAAGACTTCTTGGAATCAAATATGGATACCCATTATATATTTCAAAATTTCTATCTATATTTATTTTATTATCTATTAATTTGATAATAGAAAGATACATAATATTTAAAAAACTATCAGTTGAGTGGCTTGACAGAGCTCATTAGTTTTAATTGAAATGTTAGGAATAATTCAAAATAATATTATTAAAAATATTTTAGGAAAAGACCCTAATCCAAGCACTAAATATTATAAAAATATATTTTGAGATTTCAATTTTATTTAGTGCCAGATTTTCTACATAGAAATTTGGTTAAATTCTTATTTTGAGATTTCAATTTTATTTAGTGCAGATTTTCTACATAGAATTTGGTATTTTTGTTATTAGGATTAATAATTTTTAGGAGTATTTTTAGATCTTATTTGATTCACTTGTAAGCCTATAAACAGGCATATTCTTTTATTAATTCAATGTAGTGCAAAACATTATTAATCATCTTGCTTATTTCCATTTTTCCTTCCAAAATTTTAACATTGTATCAGAGCCTTTCTGTTAAATGGCCACAAATACTATTTCATTTTCTTCCCCTCTAATTTTTGTTGGTAAAAATTATCAGCTATGGGCTGTTAAAATGAAAGCTTATTTATAAGCTTATGACTTATGGGAGCATGTTGAAACAGAAAAAAAAAAATCCCTCCTTTGCCATCCAACCCAACTATGGTTCAACTTAAGAATCATAGCAAAGAAAAAACCAAAAAATTCAAAGCAAAAACCTGCCTTCATTCTTCTGTTCCGAATATAATTTTCACAAGTATTATGACTTGTGAAACAGCAAAGGAGATATGAGACTCATTAAAAAATGAGTATCAAGGCAACGAGCGAACGAAATTGATGCAAGTTTTGAATCTTAAAAGAGAATTTGAGATGCAAAAAATGAAAACATCTGGAAGTGTCAAAAAATATTTTAACAATCTCATGTCCATTAGTAACAAAATTAGATTACTTGGTGAAGAATTTCCTGAAAGAAGGGTCGTTGAAAAAATTCTAATAAGTCTACCCGAAAAATTTGAATCCAAAATTTCTTCTCTTGAAGACACAAAAAATCTTTCTGAAATTTCTATTGGTGAACTAACTAATGCACCTACAAGCTGTGGAGCAACGAAGAGCATTTAGCAACGAAAAAGAGCATTTAAAGAAAGAATAATACTATAGAGACTTCTTTAAGTTTGTCGAAAGACAACGAACAACGAACAAATTTTTATCAAAAAGAGGAAAATGTCCACCATGTGGCATATGCAAGAAAGATAATCATGATGAAAATGATTGTTGGCATAAAGGTAAACCTCAATGTTTTAATTGTAAAAAATTTGATCACATTCAAAAAGATTGCAAGTATAAAAATCAATCAAATTTGTGCAAGAGGAAGAAACTCTTCTTTGAGTATTGCAGAGATGTGTTCCAAGAGAACATTGGAGAGAAGTGCTCCAAGAGAACATTGGAGAGATGTGCTCCAAAATAAAGCTAGTTTGATGATAAGTGCATCAATATTTGGTGAGAAGTGCATCAAAATGATGAGTTGGAGAGAGGTGCTTTAACAAAATTAATTGAAGAGAGGTGCTTCAAATACTAGATTAAAAATTTTAATTGTTAATTATTGTAATAAAAAATACTATATTTGAATTAAGAGAGAATGTTAGGATTAATTCAAAATAATATTATTAAATATATATGTCAATATATTTGTTATTAAATAAATATTATAAACAATAGTATGAAAGATATAATGAGTTATGAATTGTAGGTAATAATTATTTTCAAACATATATATAATAATTAAAATAGTTTTTTTTTAAGATATCTTTTCAATTTGATTTTTTGTTGCATGTTCTCTCCTCAGTCTTATTGAAAATTTGTATTAATAGTTTTTTATTAGTGATTTTTATTTAGATTTATAATAATTATTGGATAGTTTTTTTTAAGTGGTCTATTAAATGTATGGAACTTTTTGTTATAGCAACTTATATAGGGAGGGCTAATAAATTCTCGTTTGTTAAGTCATTGAATATGTTGATCAAACATTATTAATCATCCTGTGCATTTCCATTTTCCTTCCAAAATTTAAATCTGAAATGGCAAGAAGGAAGAAGAAGATAAATTTAATAGTTAAATATTGGAATACATATTAAAATATATTTCATTCTTAAATTTTATGTAATTTATACATAAAACTATTGAATATCCATGTACATACGTGATTTAATTGTTTATAAATACTACGTCGTGATATAAATTATTAATGACTAGAATGATTTTAAAATTAATTATTACAGGTTTTTTATTCGATTTCAGCATTAATAGGAATAGAAAAAAATACAAAAAACAGTTATTAATTAATTAATTTATTTTATTTAAAAAATAAATAGGATATACTTATATAAATTTAGAAGAGTTAAAACATTTATCAATAATTAATGGACTCACTTAATTTAATAGTTAAAACATTATTTTTTAACTATATTATAGTTCTATCACAAAAAAAATAAAATACTGAATTTTTTTTTTCATAAAAGAGCTGCCGAATGTCTATCTATACTTAAGAAGAATCATAATCTGATATCTTTCACTGTAGATGTACCTATAGCCTCACTCCAAAAAATAAAGACATAGAAACAACAACTTCGTGGAGATTGTGAACTCACGGTCAGATTGATTTTTTTTTTGACAAATTAACACGGGTTACAGAATTATGAACTCATTATAAAAGTTCCACAATCCTAACATAAAGCCTAAATAAAGAATTTCCACATCAGATTGTTGGATTAAGCTTGCGTCGCCATAAAACAGTCACATTTCACCTCAATTCCACTAGCAATCTCATTAAACGAATCTTTTTAAATATGTATGAAATACAAGATTTATAATTTATAAATTATACATTATATATAAGTATATATTTATAAGATAATGAAATTATGGAAAAAATGAATATTTTAGTTGTATTAATACAATTTATAATATTTAAATTCTAAATAATGTAAATAGATATAACCAAGATAATTAAAATTCGTAATGCGCAAACCTTTTTATCTATATTAATAGAAAAACTTGAGAGCTTTGCTATGAGCCGGGAGGAAATAAGGAAGACCATTTATTTAAGAGTCCAGTATTTAATGAGCCAAATTGTTATAGGCCTGCTCCTCTAGAGGATGTTTCATTTTACGCATTTCCCAAAATATCAATCCAAACATGTTCGTTTTTATAGGCTACGTCCTTCTTTCTTAAAATCAGAAACTACACCTCTCTGACCCTCACTTCATCCCCCATGGGTTTTCTGAAGAGTAATACTACAATCGAGTAACTTTAAATTATATTCAAATAACATTTAAATCTCTTTATATTTGATAAATAAACTATAACACTTAATTTTACTTTGTCTTTTTATACATCCCTCAATCTAAAATGAATATTTTACCGTTAATTAACACACGTTCCAGATAAAAAAGTGAACTCCTTATGATAAAGGAGTTGACTTTTTGACAAAATAACTGAAATATGAGATTAAATATAATGTTTAAATATGTTCATGATTATTTATCAATGTAAAAGATTTTAAGTATTAAGTTTGATAATAATATTACTACGG